GCCTCTCTCAGCTCTCAGCGCAGACTCCAGGCCTCGAAGCTCGTCCATCGTCATGCCCCCGTCTGCCGGTTCGGAGCGTTTCAGGGCCCAGTCCTCCTCTTCCTCTACTTTCTGATGAAGAGTTGAGGGGCAATCTGAAAGGCCTTCAGGACAGACACAGAGCGAGGGAGAAGAGCGGTTGTGTGAGGAATGATTTTCACTTTCTTTTAAGATTTTCTATCTTGCCCTGCCTCAGTCGGAGCGACCTGGGCTCATTACCTTCACTCTGGGGTTTGGAGCCAGTGAGGAGGTTCTGGTTGGGCGGATTCATCTTCAACGCCTCCTTTATGAGCCTCAGAGACGCAGGCTGATAGCCCTCCGTTTGAGAAAACTGCAGAGTTAGAAAGCAAACAGCTGAGTCATGGAGAGAGAGTTTATAAATCAGATCAAATTGTTCACATTCAACATTCACAATGTCGAAATATCAAATACGGTGCTGCTGTTTGGAACTACACCAAAATGGAAGATCTCATTTCTGTCTTTTTTATTTTTTAACTTCAGTTCAGTTTTTTAAACATTTTCAATATAACCCAATTAATCAAGACAAATAAATGGGTTTACAACTAACAGACAATATATGCTTTGATTCTTGTTCTTAATGATCAGATGAAAGCCGAGCTATGGCTGCCGTTTAGTTAAATTTGCTTTAGGACATAATTTATCAACAGAGGTTTGAAAGAGACAGAACGCATTAGACAAACTGGAAGAATTAACTCACCTAAATAACAGCAAACCTTAAACTCATGTCATACAGTCTGAAATACACCAAAAATGAAAAGTGGATGGTTTCTGGGGAGCAACAACTTCATATAATTTAAAAAAGAAAACAAGAAAAGTTCATCCCTGAGAAGAGGAGAAATAGACCAAGCATCACAATAAGCATCTACTTCTGTCATTGGTGTAGTGATGCAGTTTGTTTTTAAACGGTTGTTAGTGGAAATACACAGTGAAAAATTAATTATTCAAGTATAAAATGGCTTCTAAATTTAAGAGCAGGAGAAGCATCAGCTTTACACGTACAGGCCTTCTGAAAAGAGGAGGATAAAAAAAAAATAAAAATAAAGTCTGAAAAGTGTGGCATGGATTTTTATTCACCTACCTTGTGTCAGTGTTTTATAGATCCACCTGTTGCAGTAATTACAGTGCAGCACAGTCTTGGTTTTGCACTCTTTGTTCATTTTTCTTGTAAACTGTCTCTTGCTCAGTCAGACTGGATGGAGAGCCTCTCTTTATATTAATTTTCAGATCTTAGCGTGGCAATGATATTATTTCATGCGGATGAACTCTAGAGGCAATCAGTTCCACTGGGTTTTATTTAGGGGCAGCAGAGCAGCTTAATTCATGCGTCATGTAAAAGCTTGTAGTCGTGACATAAGGCAATGGAAATTCATCACTTAAAATGTCATCTCTATTCCATGCTAACTTCTTCATTTATCAGCTGCCAGTTCGTGATTGTGCGATGGATTTTTATCTCTTTGGTGAATTTTTTTTTTTTTTTGCTCAACACTGTAAGACTAAGCTCAGATGAAAACATACCACTTGGTTATGTGTTTGCATAGCAAAACGCTTCATACTGCTGCCAGAATTATTATAAAAAGCTTTGCTGTACTTGAGAGTTGAAGATTTCCACTCAAGAGGGAAGTCTAGCAGCTTAAAAAAAAAAAATCAAATCAACAGCATTCTCTTTATCGCCAACATCTCTGCTATGATTTGTTGGTGGAGAGATGCAAGCGAACCTCTCATCACCTCTCCTCATTATCTCTCCGTCAACATTCCTACTCGGTCTACATGAAGCTGCCGAGCAACACGGTGATGCTGTGCCACCTTCTCCTCCTACTCCTCCGCCGAGAAAGCCCGTCTCCCTCACCTCCTCTTTGATGTTGGCGTTCTCCTCCCCCTCGCCGCTGAGGCTGCCCTCCCCGTCCTCGTCATCCTCCATCTCTCCCTCGTCTTCCTCATCCCGGGGGAACTGGACGAGGTACGCCTCCCTGGCCTCCTTCCCCCCTCTTCCTCCTGCTCCCATTACTAAGCCTAAAGCCCCTCCAGCTCCTCCTCCCCCATCACCACCTCCTACTCCTCCTCCTCCTCCTCCTCCTTCCTCCCACACACCTCCAGGCCATCCTTTGCCGTGGACCGCTGCTGGGACCTTTTTCAGCTTGCCTCCTGCAGAGAGGGGAGGGCAGCAGAGGAAGGTGTGGAGACAGAGGGCACAGGGAGACAGACGATGAAATATGAGGGGGAGAGAGACGAGTGGGAGGAGATGATTGGAAGGCAAAAAATGAAGGATGAAGGAGAGACGAGGGGAAAGACGTGGAGGAGGAAGATGGGGAAAGGAATCAAACAGAGGTTGGGGTGAAGGAGAGAAGAAATCAACCAGGGGGAGGAGTAAGCATGATGAACAAGTGAGGAGAGGGGGCGTAGAAGGACACACAGGAGAGTGGGAAGGAGCGGAAAAAAAAAAAAAACATGTGACAGAAATGACAGAGGAGAGGACGAAGCGGAGTTGTTGAGAAGGAGGTGACATGTTGAAGGAGAGGATGAAAAGTGGAAAAAAAAAGAGAAGAGAAGTTGAGTGTGTAATTATGGAGGGCGGTGGAGAGAGAAGCAGGAGAGGAAAGGAGGCGGGGGAGTATATATGTGTGTGTGTGTGTGTGTGTGTGTGTGTGTGTGTGTGTGTAACGTGATCAAGGAAAGAAACAGAGCAGGAGGAGGAGATGGGGGGAGGAGAGCGGAAGGAGGAGCAGGAATGGGAGGGGGGAGACAGAAGGAGAGGAGCAAGGCAGGAAGGGAGGGCGCAGAAGGAAAGAGGAGTGGGAGGGCCAGAATGCAGTGCAAAGAGAGGAGAGGAGAGGGGGAGGCGAAGGATGGAGGGAAAGATCATGAAGAGGAGGCGGAGGAGGAAGGGAGAGAGATCAGCTCTAGCCAGATGGTTTCCAACAAAACAAGAGTGTCAGTGTCTGCAGAGCAAGATTAAAGCTTTTCCCCCCCCCACTTAAAACACACAAATGCAGATACATCTTTGATGGAAATAACAGACATGCGAGTCACTGTGGTAAAGTCTTCAACCACTCACATCAAAATACTTACGGGCAACGTCAACTTTCCGCTTCAGCCGCCCTCCCACCTCCTCGCCTGCATTCGGGCCGGCGTTGCGGCGGCTGGCCGCCCAGCCCATCCCGTACTTGCGCTCCGTCCTCAGCTTGCTCTCGGTGAGCTTGAGCCGCAGCTTGAGAGCCTCGTTCTCCTTCCTGTTGAGGGACAGCTCCACCAGATAGTCGTTCACGGTCTCCTGGAAGAGCTTGCTGATCTCGCACACCGACGCGCGGATCAGGCTATCCATGACGGCCGTCAGATGCGTCTCAAAGGCGCTCACCGACTCCTCCATCATCTTGACTCGGCGAGCTGTGGATCTGATCAACACTCGGCATTAATTAACTGATGACTGCGTTAACAAAGGTTTACAAACTGGATCCTGGAAGTTGATCATACCTAATCGATTACAGATGTAGGGAATCACCTCGGTAGCCGTTAATTTAAGTTAGCTAGCTGCTGCTATATTTTAATCAACTGTTCAATCTCAGAGGACTCAGTATATATGTACTTACCACACCTGTAGCAATTTAATTACACTATAGCCCCTCCATTCAGCCCTTTATAACCGTAACCACGGTGATATATCAGTTTAATTCACACCAAACGAAAAATCTTCGTCAATTTCGCTTGTTAGTAAACTCTCTAACATGTCAGAATGTTTAAGTGGAACGCAGGAGGGTTTCCATTGCTAGCATCAAGGCTAGTTTAGCTCTTCATACGCACCTTCTGCAGACGATACCCAAGTTTTAACTTAGCAGACGTAAAATTAAAACACACAGTGTGGTTTTACAGGTTTCACTAGGCGAGTAAGTCATGAGAAGCGGTTACAAAAGGAAGCGCAATCCAACTTCAGCCCTCTCCGTCTCCCTGCCTCCTGCTGCTGCTGCTGACACTGTTTTCCTCCTCGGCTCCCTCAGCACTGCTTATGATGCCTGCCCACTACCGTAATTACTCTACTATGACGTTCAGGCGCAACTTAAAAATGCTCATCCTCAATTTGTGCTGAAATGCTTTTAATTGCAGGACAGTTGGTGTCCATTTATTATAAATTATTATAATTTATTATAAAATCAGGCACAAACACGGGTTTCTTATTATTTACTTAGTCTTTAATTCTATATGACGCACCAGACTAACTAACTAACTAACTAACTAACTAACTAACTAACTAACTAACTAACTAACTAACTAACTAACTAACTAACTGTTAAATTGAAAATCGGGACATTATGGGTAAAGTTTCTTAAATTGACTCGACAACCCACCCAGATGGTTAAATAGAATATTTATTGAACTTAACCTGGCATCTTGCCTAAAATAGATAACGAACACGTTGGAGCCACGCAAAAATAATCGTCTTGTTCTCGATTTTAAAGGCAATAAGTGTAGAAAGAATGAAAACAAACATATTAAGCAATTAAAATTATATTACAATTTTATAATTTTAAAGGTAGGTAAATGTGAAAATAAATGTAAATGCTTGCAGTGACAAACAGATTAACTTTTTGAATGAAAGTCTGCGAAAACCAAGGCATATGAACATCCTCTTGCTGTGACTTTGTAGCAAACGTTCAAGATTAAAAACAATTTTGTTCTGTTATATTTGGAGATTATTGAGAGAGTATGAAATTAGTTGGTTAGTTTATTTGTCGTCTATTTTCAAGGATCTGTTTAAAATATTTATTTTTGTCCGCTCCATCATATAAACATTTTTACAACAATAAATAAATTATGCAAGACAAACACCAGAATGAACCGAAATACGTTCACGTCACACCCTCTTGGAGTGATAGGTCTTCCAGGATGATAGGAGGCGCTATGAACGATTTCTGACGTTGTTGCCGGCCGAAACTACAAAAGAGAAAGAGGAAATTCTCTTCTCTTCTTCCTTGTGTGAGCAGAAGGAGAGGGACACATCTGCAGCAGCCCCAGCAGTGGAGAAAATACGCGACAATAATCATGCCGATGCTCGTGGTGAACACCAACGTGGCTAAAAGCGACGTCCCTGCGGCTCTGCTGTCCGAAGCCACGGAGGACCTGGCCAAGGCGATAGGCAAACCCGTGCAGGTAGGCCTGGGGTCACTCGGTTCTGCAGAATCAATGTGGACCTCGTGTTGTTCATATGGATCAGTTTTATTTGTGCTGTTATGATCATTTCATGTTTCAAATTTACTGAAATACAGTTGCATTTAATCTGCTATGAGAGCAGATCCTTGTGAAACTACGTAAACATGGCCTGTACTGAGCGTTGATGAATAATAAACCTAAGAGGACGATTTATTTGTGGCAACTTTAATAAAGTAAAAGTACAAAGACGTCAACGGGACCAAAATAGATATCCTAATCTTTTAACAAGTTAACTTTTTTGTATCTGACTGGATTTTTTCTTTTTTTCTTCCTGTTTTGCATTTGTCTTACATCTACCAGTACATTGCTGTGCACATCAACCCTGACCAAATGATGATGTTTGGAGGAAAGGGAGACCCCTGCGCCCTCTGTTCCCTCCACAGCATCGGCAAGATCGGCGGCTCTCACAACAAGCAGTATTCAAAACTGCTGTGCGGACTGCTAAACAAACACCTGAGCATAGCGCCTGACAGGTAATGAATACACAACGGCTGCTTCATGTGACATGTAACGCTGAGATCAGCTCTTGTTAACTTGTTTCTCCCTGTGTCTGTCTCAGGATTTACATTAACTTTGTGGACATGGATGCAGCCAATGTGGGCTGGAACAATACTACCTTTGGCTGACATGGAGGTCAACTTTCTAAAACAGAAGATCATTCCAGCTTTTTCCTACTTTACATAGTCAAAAGCGATGCAATGGATAATAAAGGCAGTCAGAGGTACAGACTAGAACAGTCAGAATACTGTGGAGCTTGTCCAAGAAGCACTTAACCTGATCCTTTTGCTTTGCACTATTCCTTTTCCATTCAAAAATAAATAAATAAAAATCCTGTAGGTCATGGATGAAGCCATGTTGTCTTTGGTTGTCTTATTACTTGCAAAAAGTTAATGTGTTTAAGCTAGTTTAATCTTTTTTGGCACAACACAGACACTGTAGAATCACAATAAGAGAAGAACACCAACAAAAAGTACTGTTGAGATGAAAAAATAGGCATACATCACAGATTAAAAATTCAGACAAAAAATATATGCAAACATACTAAATTCCACGGTTAAAATAAAGGACTAAGCCATACATGATAAATGTAGTAATTTAAACTAATTGTGCATAAAGCTAAGTATATATTAACATGTATACACTTAGGTTGATTATAAATACAAACCATATCGTAATATTTACTCTAAATACATTTTCTATATTTAAAACTTTGAAGAGACAAAGATTGGAATGCAATTTCTGTATAATTTTTTCCATAATTTGTTCCCTAATAATGAATGAAATTTTTAACTGTTTTATATGAAACATTAGGAAGTTTATTTTAATTATCTATTTTGTAATTTGACATAACTAAATGGAAAACGGTTGCAAAAACAAATCTCTAAAGATGATCCAAGACCTTTTCATTGCAAAACTGCATTGCACTTGTTTCTTGTACGATTATTGAATGGGTTATTAGATGTGAATATTCTGTGTTCATTGAACATTTGCATTTCTAAATTTGTCTAGCAGGAAGAGTAAGCATATAAAAATAATTTTAAAAAGTATAAGGGAGAAATGCCTGTTTAGAAATGCTGCATTTTAAAGTTTCCAATTAGCAAAATTAAAAGAAAGCAGTCGCATGAATATATATTTAACACATGTTGAATTTTAAATTCTTAATCTAAATTACCACATGTTTTATGTTAGATCTTGGATAGGATAGGAAGTAATTATCATACAATTTTTGATCTTTTGTTAACATGTTTAACGATAAGGTAACATTTGTAGAACTCTTTAGAACTTATCTTTAGTTACGTAAAAAAAAAAAACATGTAGGAATTTTTCTTAAGGTTTGTACCTCTGCAATGTGTCTAACCGGCTTTTCATGGGTTGAAATGATGAATTACGATGTACATTAAATGCAGCAACGGATGCGTCTGCAATGTAAGATGCTGTGATTGGTTAATGGTAACACATTAACCAATCGCAAGGTACCTTATGGCTCTGTGAACTACAGAGACCAGAGCTACGGCGTCATTGCGATAGTCGGCGGGAAAAGTCCATTTGGTTTGTGGTACCGTGACTTTCCATACGTTCTCTCCGTTTTAGTAATAAAAAAAAACCATCTCCCAGGTGAGCCAAGGTTGATCTCAAATGCAGCTGGTGTCCAGATACTGTTTCTTGAATGCTTGTGGTGTTACTTTGATAGCTATCAGGAATACGCTAAGGCTAGGTCTCTTCTCCCTAGGCCACGTCGCTAGGCGTGTCAGATTGTCAGCATATGAAGTTTATCTTGTAGCATTGCGGTAGCATTGATATGAGGCGTTTACGAGTCGAAGAAAACTAATGGAGTAAATCACGAAATGCTTTACATTCTTGTCGGGGATTGTGAGGGGAAAATGGCGGATGAGGATATCACCGGATATCACTTCCTCATTAGCTTGGCAAAGTAACCAGTGGCTCTTACTTTTTACTGCTGATGTTATAACAATATCCGATTTCTGATCAGAAGCCTTTTTAGTCAACACGGCTTGTTGACTGGTCAACATGGTGGGTTACTCACCATGCGAGTCTGGTGCCTCTCATTAACAAGTGTTATTTTAAATACATTTTATCATCTGAAGTACGCTGCATACGTGCGTTGGGGTATTTTATTATTGTTTTAGTGAATAAAAGCAGACCTAAAACTAATGCAAAATCTACAGATAAAAATCTTAAAGTGAAATCTAAAGTTTTATAAGCGAAAAACGTTATTACTAGCATATTATCTTAGTAAGATTATATGACCATAACTTTGTTGCACTGACAACGACCTACCGGATTTGTTTGTTAATTTACTCAATGATATAGACCACATTCTCTAAAGGTATCAATAGTTAGACTCATGAAATGACAGCAAAACCTAAGTTTTTTATTAAAAATTAAATGAATATTTCGCTTAATTTTGGAAAACAAACTTCTTTAAAACTAAATATGCGGATTCAGTATTGTGTGTGAAATTGGATATTGCCTTATGATAAATAACCCTTTTGTAAAATGGCATCTTCCTGTACTTAATCCTGGTACATGGAGCTAAAAGTATAAAATTAAAACTTTTTTGTTGGCATGCAAAGCGTGATTTTATCATAGGTGGAAAACAGCGTGTGTTTTGTTGACGACTGTAATCTGATCATGTTTCTCTTGTGTTTAACCAATAAGGACTTCGGCAACGTCTCGCTCGCTCTGAAGGAGCTGCTGCAGGTCGTCGTCCATCATGTCTGACAGTCTGATGCGAGGCGTCCGGGTCCAGCTGACCACAACGATGGACTCCGTTTTGAGGACGGCCGTGTTTGAAGTCATGAGGATCTTAGAAAGCGCACTGTATAACCATAAGATGGAGATGGCGCAGAAGGGAGAAGAGATTGCTCAACTCAAAATAAAGCTACAAGCTGCAGAGATAAAGCTTAAAGACTTTGAGATGAGCAGTCAGAGAAGAGCAGAGACGACTGAAACCCAATCAAAGCCAAAAGTTGTTCCAGTTGCCCCAGAACAGCCTATCACAGTTCCTGAGATTGATGTTGAAGGTATAGTGGGTTGTTTATTTGATTTCAAGTAATACGCTGCTGTATTAGAAAGCTGTGTAAGGAACATAACTCCACATCTTACTACTGTGGGGTTAAACATGCTTAGTGTGTCTGTTTGTGCGCAGTGCCTGATGACTGGTGTGCTCCACTGGGCTGTGATACGTCGAACAGACAAGAGGAGGGTTGTCCCAGCGTAAGACTGCGCCAGTTTTCCATACGCCTGTTTCCTGTTCCTCTTGTTAAGCACGAGGTGTGTAGATGGATCTGGGAAGTTCAGGTGATGGCGAATGGTTGTTCAATAACACAAACTGCGGTGGGGGGGAGGAGGAAGCGATCAGATCTGTAACCTGCTGATATGAGCTAATTGTTATGGTGCCACATCCCACAGTGGGCTTGTTGCTTAAGAGGCCACTGGGCGATCTTTCAGTGTGACCCTGGACAGATTTCTGTCAGACAGCTTAACTAATGATGAAATCCAGAAGTAAAGTAGAAGTGAAAACCAGTGAGCCCAGGATGGATGTTGGTGCCAGATCTGAGACTTAATCTGATTGTTTGATCCTTGTTAAGCCTTTCGTTTTCTTCACTCTTTTTCTTTTGAGGTATTTATTTTTTTTTTTACAACATTTTAGAGATGTAACTTGTATATCTTTATTTTTCGATTTTTAGGAGAACAACAATGTCATCAACGTACAGAAATCTCCAGTCGGCAGGAGATCAAAAAGAAGTAAGTTGTGTTATGGATCATTTTGGCCATTCTCTGATGCCTTCAGGATGCTTTGTGTTCATTTTTGGCTCTTTTATAGACACTTTCATAAAAATGATCAGGGTTTCTCTACAAGGTTGAAACAGGTGTTTCCTGTTTTACATAAATATGGAAAAACCTTCAAACAGACAAAAATCTAAGATTCTATAGATTAATTGGCGTAATAGTTCCCATTATGTCACATTTTGATTAATCCTTCTTCTGAAAATAGTGAATTACTGTAAATGTTAACATGGGGGCTGAGGGCGGTTAATGTACATTTTCCTGTTTCTCACCTCACTGTCAAAATTACTTGCCCTTTTTTTGCTTTGTTGTTGCTAAACTATTTTGTCTCACAACACATAAGTTCAAAGGTCTCAAATCACAGAGTCAAATGACATTCTCCATTTGTCTGTCTGCTCCTCCCAGTCTCTGCCATGAATGAAAAGCCAAACCCGAGCCAAGACGAAAGTAAACCAGGCAGTAATCGAGCAGCTCGGCACCCGAAAATAAGTGGCGACCTCAACAAATTACTCCATGGTCTCAGCAAGGACTACTGCGACCTCAGCGGTTTGGACCGGCTTCGGAAAAGACGAACGAGTGAGGAAACTTTAACAGACAATGACAAAAAAGAGAAGAAAGACGAAGAAGATTCGCTAAAGAACGAAGAGAAAAATCAGAGGAAATCCAAATACATTTGCAAGACTTGCTACAAGGTGTTGAACACAAAAAAAGGCATGCGTGCACATGAGCGTTTCCAGAAGAAGTGCAAAGGCTGCCTGAAGGCCTTCTGCTTCCAAAATGATGTGAAATACCATAAGAGAGTTTGTGCAGAGTACAAGAAGTCGATGAAAGAAAAATACAGACTACAAGGGAACAAGACTCCCGTAAAAAAAAAAGCACTCGACTCCAGCAAAGCAGAGGGGATCGGGATAAAGGAAATCACGCAGTCTTCTGCAGACAAAAAAAACCCCTCCACCCGAAAGTTCTCATGCAAAAAGTGCAGCTACAAGACTAACTCCAGAAAAAAATTTAGACGACACAAAATGTGTCACAGCGAGAAGATGCAAACTTCGCCCGTATGTCAAGAGATCCTTGATGAGAAAAAGGAATTCGACGTACACGAGAAGAAGCACAAAAGTCTCATGCAGGTCAGCAACCAAAATGGAGACCTGGGATGGACTGAGCCCTTAGAAGATGTTGACGAAGATGGAGGATTAAAACGCGGTGAGAAAATGCAAGAATGAAGGCCACTGAGGGTGATGAGTGATGTACGTTTTGTTTTTTTACCAGCCTGAGTGCGTAAGAAGAAGGGCAGGAAGACTGCAACAGGAATAGCGGCTGTCCTCGCTGAAAGCCGTAATTTACACCCACTGTGCTTTTAGTTTTACTTCAGAATTGGAAACGAACAGCTCCAAATATTGTATTTCTTAAAACCATTTCAGTCAAAACAAGAAGCCAAAGTAGCTTTGTTTTTTGTTTTTGTTTTTTTTCCCTCAAATCACAGGTAAGAGTATAAGACGAGACGGGTTTCGTCCACCAAAAGCAAGTAGTCACCTCAACGTCTTGTTTTCTCTGACTAAAATTAGACTGACGAAGGCAGATGTATCCTCAGAAAGTGAAAACTCTTAAGAGAGGGAAACTATAAACTTGCTAGGTGATCGTCGAGTAAGTCAAAAGTGCTTCATCACTTTGTGAGAAATATGATCCAAGCCAAAAATGTGCTTTTTTTTTTCTCTGTTTGCTTGTTGTTGTTTTAATAAATACGAAGGTCCAGTCTCTCCCAAGTATTTGTTTGCATTTGATACATCTTGGGTACTTCACAACTTTATTATATGATGTTCTTGAAAGCTGGATCATTACAGCTCTCTGGTGTCAATTACATTGGTTCAACAGATTTAATTTTTAAAAATGGGTTTACTCTTCAGGATTGATTTGAGCTTAGCAATCTTGTTTAGTTTTTGTTCATTTTTAACATTTAAGAATAATATTTAATTATTTTACTTAAATGTTGACAGTATTGAATTTGACAGTAAAAAATACCTTTATTTAATGGAGTTTTAAAATGCTTCCTGATGTCCCTTTATTTGATTTTAATTTCATGCTGTTGTTCTGAAATAAAGCAAACTTTGTAGTTTTTCACTGCTACTGTTTTGAACGCTGACTTGTTCTTCCCCAATAGAATTAATATGGGATAAATTTATATTTGAAATCTAAAATAGTTGGATTAGTCTTTTAGTTGAAGATTAAGAGATTGAGCTGCGTTGCACATGCCTTACCTGCACGTCTGCAGGACGTGATTTCTCATCTTATCGCGAGATTTGCAACATCTCTTCACAGGTGCCGACCTGCTACATAAATCGTGCGATTTTTTTCCTTGAAAGTGAGGCTGCCATACTTATTTTATTCTAGTCAACGGAAAGTTACTGGCCAGTAAATTACAACCGCATTGTCTATTAATCTGTTTTTCTTTTTAATGTAGTGTTTATACATTAAATGCAAGTGCTAGCTTAAAGGATGCAATGCTAGCTTCGTTGGGTCGTTGTTTACATGTTATTCAGAGATAACGAGAAAGCGAAGCAGGGACTTTCCTGTCTCTTTTAAAGGTTTTTTTTTTTTTTTTACTAAATTACGGTCGAAAATATCCAACACTTTAGCAGGCTCTTGTCATTAACTCCAAATTGTATCCTGACAGTATCTCAGGCAGCATGTCGTGTTGTTTTCTGGAAGCTCCCAGGGGTGTGTCGGTCAGTCTCAGACATTAAGTCGGGTTTAATCATAACAAAAGGAGCATGGAGTCTGTGAGGAGCGCTTTTCACGCTCAGCTGGCTACCGTCATGGACTCTCTGCTTGCTGCCGCCGTGTGCGAGATCGCCAAGATCTTCGAGAGCAGCCTGTGCGAACAGCAGGCGGAGCTGGCGCAGAAAGCCGAGGAGATCTCCGTGCTCCGCTGCAGGCTGGAGAAGGTGGAGAGGAGGCACAAAGCTAAGGGTGGAGGCACCGAGGAGGGAGAGCTGTCATCAGGAGACAGAGAGAGCAGCCTGAGGCAACAGATCCCGACAGGATCAGGTATTACAAAAACCTAGAAATATAACCACAGTCTAAAGTTAGGCGGTTTAAATAATGTAAGTTATATAAACTATAATTGACCTTGTTTCAAAATTATTGTTGGCAAACTTGAAGTGACATGTTTCCTAACACTGAGTGGACTAATACAGTGGTCTCCAACTCCACTCCTCAAGAGCTGCAGTTTAGCGTGTTTTAGATGTTTTCTTAGTTCAGCACACTTTAACCGAACTTGACAAGCTGAGGGCATAATTTGGCCATTATTTTAACTGTGTTGCATGCAGAACATTGGCTTGATAACTTGAGTTGGACAACCCTGTACTCGGGTAAAGGGTCAATGTTGAAAGGAGTGACATTCTGCATAGAAAGCGTTCAGAAATACTCATAATTTAATCTTTTAGTTGGTACCCTACAGAACAGTAAAAATAAAAAAAAATAACATTGAAAGAACTGTAGCTCTTAGTGTTGTATATTATTTTATCCCTGATAAGAATACTCGTTTTTCTTTTTTTGTATTTTTTGTTGAAATTCTTTGTAAATACAGTAAAACGGGTGTACAACTAAGACCAGAGTTTGCACTAATCTGTTCTCTTTGCATAGCACTGAGTGTGGGGAAGGATCCATGTCCATCGGAAGCAGAGGAAGTACTCTGCTTGCTGAAGGAAGAGGTCACAGGTCAGGAAGGAGCTGCCGTAAAGCATGAGGTGAGATGTTTTACTTCTTCTCCGTGACCCACACAATCTACCCAGTGATTTAGCTAAAATATGTATTTACTCATTCAAATCTTGTTTTTGTTTAATATTGCGGTCCTTACAGATTTCTTTTACCTCTTTTTTTATGAACAGCATCTTAGATTACACTCTCCTGCAGTCCAAGCCCAAAATGGAAATGTGTGCATCTCCCATCCTGACCACTTCTCTCCCAAGTCTGAATCCAGTCTACTTCCAGCAGGTGAGTGGTTACCTGGACTGAACGCCACTCGAGGTGCTGCGTCAGGTCTGGACCAGCTGCAGGCAGACGGCACTGACTGCTCCGCTGCAGCCGGCAGCAGCATCGGCAATGACGCGTCTTCCTTCCAGCGCGGTTTTAGATCAGACGAGACCAGCAACGAAGGCGACGACGCCTCGTTTGCTTATCTGGACCAGGAGTCTGAGAACCAGAACTCGGATCAGAGTCCGGGAGTAAAGGAGGCTCAGACAGATCTCACTCCAGCCTCGTCTGGTGAATCATGGCAAACAAGAGACGACAGAGGTGCAAGAGGCCACATCAACCACACACGGCGAGTCGCTAATTTTACTACCAGAGATCCTCTGCGACTGCAGTCCAACTCCCAGTTGCTCGCAGCACGACAGACCAACACTCACAGTCATCCTGTAACTCCCAGTGGAGGCGGCGGACGCCCTTACTCCTGCCCCTACTGCACCAAGTGTTTCACCTACCCTTCCCATCAGCGCAGGCACCTTCTACGGCACACTGGAGTCAGACTGCATCCCTGTCAGTTCTGCGACAAGAGCTTCCTCACGCCGTCAGAGCTCACCGTTCACACTCGCACGCATACGGGCGAGCGTCCCTTCGGCTGCGCTCAGTGCGGTAAACGCTTCGCCCGTAGCGGCAACCTGAGAGCCCACCAGCGAGACGTTCACATGGGAAAGAGGCCCTTTGCTTGCGTCGAGTGTGGGAAAAGATTTGCCCACAGAGGAAACCTGAGGGTGCACAATCACAGAGTCCATCAAGGGGATCCGTACTACTCTGACGGTCAGCCGGAGCCTGACATAGGCCAGAGTCCTATTTAAAAGCAACACAAGTAGGAAAAATACCTACATTAAGTTATTATTCAGCACCTTGGCAGCAGTTTGGAACAATTGAAGCTTTTTGGTCTTATTCGTGCTTCTATATTTTTTATGTAGATGATTATGTCTAATTCTGAGTCAGTCTGTTTTAGGTAAAATAGATTTTGTTCAGTGTAATTGATGTGAATGAATGATTATAATAGTCTGAACATAACTGTGGAAGTAAAACAAGCAAAATGTGACTATATCGCTGTGTCTTTTCCTTTTCAAAGTTGACCATTTCTGAACGCACTCTTTATTTGAACTGAAGAAACGATCAAATAATGTTTTATATATGCTGCAGCTACATCTAAAAAAATTAAAATATCATCAAAATTGCATTTATTTCAGGATTTCCATTTAGTACTGGGGCACTCAAACACTATATAGACTTATTGCACAAAGAGTGATATAGTTCAAGCATCGTTTTCTGTTAGATTTTATTATTTTGGCTTGTTACACAAGAGGATTATGGAAATTTTGAGATCAAAATCAGAACTTTTTTTTTTTTTTAGCGGCATTAATTTCCTTCCATAGTTTATGGCTAATAAAAACCCAAAATTAACTTCCTCAAAAAAAAAAAAAATTCAGACAATTAAAAGAGAGCAATAAAAACACTAATATCCAAACATATTAGTGGAAAGTTAGGTGGAAAGAAAAAGTGTCAGCAAAAACAGCAGCCTGATGGCCTCCAAACCCACTGCATTGATCCAGTGACTCATGCAAACGTCTATGTATATACTTTGACATTTCTGTATTGGAAAAAAAAAAACATGTTTAATGGCTTCATTTATAGTCTTCAGAGAAACTAAATGTAGGGTTTTCCTTGGCTGTCAGTAGTAATCATCCAAATTGATAGAAAACAATTGAAAAATTCACTCTTTACGTAAATAATCTACAATATGAATGTATTTGTGGATCATATAATGGATAGAAATCCAATATATGACTCATAAATCTTGAATATAATTAAGTATTTATTCAGATTGACTAGAACTTGTCTGTCTTGCCTCCATGGATGAATATACAGAGTTGTGCAGTAAAGGACGTTTGTTCAGCATGTAGTTAAAAGTGATACGACACAATATTTCCTGTTTCCTGAACATCCTGTATGAAACTGGTAGATTAAGTAGTGGAAATAGAAACGACATAAACAAACAACTGGTCCTCCTTTGCACTCACTTATCTTTTATAACGATTTAATTCCTTTCGAGGATTAAACTTAAAAAATGTCAAACAATGCTGTATTGTTTATCGTATCTTAAATATTACTGTAAATGTAATTGCTCTTTGTCAGTGCTTACCTTGGATTGAATGTAGTCTTATTTTTCTTCTTCAATACTAAAGCATATCAATACTGTTGAAATTTTAAAAATCTAATTTCCTCCAGTTTTTATGTCTGGTCAAAAATTTTGGCTCTTGGTTTTTATGTTTTTGCTACTGCTTGTTTACTTCACAGGTCTTTTATTTTAGCTTTCTGCGCTTTTTTTTCCTCCTACTTTCTCCAATAATCAGACGGCTCATTTCATAAACAAGCTTATTAGTAAAGTCAGAATCGTTCAGGATTTTCTCAACGGTAAAAAAGTTTTTCTGTTACTTAAGCTGACTAAACAATATTTACTGCAAGGTTTTATTTTACAAATGTGGTTTAAAAAGCAGATTGTTTGGCTGCTAAATGAAAGTATTCTTAGTTTGAAGCTTTTTTTTGTCTCTTCAAAGCTAACTGTATGTACTTCTTATCAAGTTTATTTATAATTTGACTCGGCTGTGAAATGCTTTATTGTGGCAAATATAATGTTAAAGATGACTTTTTTGTTTCCTTTATAAAAAGTTAATCTTTTACATCCTGGCTTGTAATTGTGAAGAAATAAACATGTAAGTTTGTTGCACTGTTTTATGCCAGCCACCAGGGGGCAGTGCAAATACAAAGGTCTAGAGAAATGTGCGCTGACAGGTTTTGATGTTCTCAGCATGTTTTACCTTGTTTTGTCCTACATTTTTGTCGCATCTTTTTCCCCGATGCATGATCGTGTGTCATGATGGTGCCCGTCCTGTAATACATCGTATGAATGTTCAGAAAAATCTACATTTAATTTTATACCTGCACAAAACCTAATTTATTAGAACATGTTTTAGCTATTTTCTTCTTCATATATAAGTATGTGAAACTTACAAATTTTCTTCTGTTTCTTGTATTGATTTTTTAAAAATATTTTAAATCCTTCACACATGAGAGATGTCCAATAAACACTTTATTTTTATTAGTCTTTGAGTGTCTTCTGATGTTAGGATTTCCATGAAAAATGGAAAAATACATTTTTCATGTATTTTAGTTGTAATTCCAGAAAATATTTTGTTAAAAAACAAAGCCACAAAAATGGGATTTAGATGAAGTGATCAAGATATGTTGGATTGCACTTTTTTTTATCAACTTCTAGCTCTTTTATTGTCCAGAAGACCTCAGTTTTAGTAACATTGACTTGGTGTATGTATGTCTTTTTTTCCTTCTTCATAGACCTAAACATGCACTGAGCGTGTGGGCTGAGTGGGGGCTGATGGGATATTTGTCCCTATCTCTCCCTCTTGCCTTTCACACACTGCAGAGGGAAGTCTGGCCCAGGCTCTGAGCATGTACTCCCCAAGCTGCTGAGTCCATGGACTGCTCACAGAAACACAACATGCAGTGACCTCCCCTCCCCCTTAAAGGTCACCTGTGTTTGTGTGCAGGTCTCTCTCTCTGCCTCAGTCAGAAAGACTGGACATATATTGAGAACACAGAGCCGGAAGAGGCCGTGCAACACGACAGAGAGATTCGAATATTAATGTCAGCGTGCCTCACTTGAAAGGCTTAACATTTATAAATTTGACTCGGATAAAGGTTTGCTGTCTGCTGTTGATGTGGGCGGATTGAATCCTCACTGGGTAAAGCTGGAGGTTCTTATAGACCTTCAAAATGCACACATAAAGACACACACACACTTTCAGTGCTGTATTTATGTGCTATTTGAAAGCATGAGGCCAGATAGAGGCATTAATCTGTGCACGGATTTGAGTCTCGAAATGTTTTGTGTCTGTATTCAGATAGCATCCATTCCATGCAGTATTTATTTTGTTTGTATTTAGTTGTGTGTAATCGTAAATCTGTTCAAAGCAGCTTTACCTAAAGAGGAAAAGGGCAACAAATACCCGTGGACCAAGCTGGACTGCCAGATGTGTGATTGCTTTATAAGATTTACAAACCATATGAAATGCCAAATGGAGAGAAATCTTTAAAGACTTGAGAAGGTTTACCTTTGTAGAACAGCTGGAATTGTGATCAGACTAAATTACGCACAGCTGGAATATTTTGCATTGGATTTTATTTTGGGGCACCAGAGGAAGGGGTCTGAATACAAAAGCACATCATGCTTTTCTGCTTTTTATTTGTAAAACTCTACAAGGAACTGGGATTGAATTGATTAATCACAGTGAATGGCAATATTTGTCAACTAATTTAGTAATCAATAAATTAACTGGAGTTTATAGACTAAAAAAATTTTTCTGAAAGAACAACACTGTAAAACTGTACAAAAGTAAATGCATCTTGCATTTAAGATAAAAACAAACTTCGACTAGTTCAACTTGTGTAAATAAAAAAAAATCCTATTAAGCGTATTTTGCTATCAATTATTGGTCAATTTATACAAAAATAATGAGTTATAAGTCAACCCTTCACTGCACTAAGCCCAGCAGAAAAAGTTGAGCTTTTCACATGTTAGTTCGTTTTTTAAGCTGCAGATGCATCCTTTGCTGCAACTGTTAGAGCATTCACTAAAAGAATGGAAAAGAAATTGCTTAATTTTGCACAATAAAATGTCTATTTTCTTATTTAAAAATTAATTGCTTATTTGCATTTTGTAAATGTATTTCTAATATTTTATATAAAAAGGTTTAAGTGGTTAAATAACAGCTCTCCTGAAGGTGCCAATTTTTTTTATTTGACAAGTTGTCAGAATAATAAATTACTGAAATGATCTTTAGTTGCAGCCATAATAGAAACCAAGTATTCTTCCACATTATAATTATGCGCTACTTGTGTTTGTGTGTCACGTAAAAATCCTAATAACATACAGTGAAGGTTGTGGTTATAATAAGGAAATGAATACTTGTGCAAGGCAGTATTTCTCTAAATGACCCTCGCATTGCATATGTTTATCTTCCTCTGCAGGCTGCAGTTTTACTGCAACTTTCCAGAAGAAAACACCACATTCATCCTTCTCTCGTTCCCCTGCTTTCAGCTAAAGTACTCACTCCATCACCCTATCATAAGCTGCTGAGGCTGAAATGATCCCCTTGACACCCAGTGAACCCCTAAACATGTCATATGCATGTTACATAGATTTTTTTCTCCGCGGCTTTTTTTTTTTTTTTTTTTTTTTTTTTTCCCCAGACACTTTAATGCCTTTTATGCATACAGCGGTTGCAAATAGATGTTATTTTTTCTGTGCAAACGTGTGCGTGGGTGGAGGCTGTATGGGATTTAGAGCTGCCCAAAGGTTGTTCATTATTATCCAGCCAGTCCCACCTCTCTCCAGGGTCTGTGGTTTCATGCAAGTTGCTATTAAAGTACCAAAGCCACCCCTCCCTCACCCTTTAGGGGAATTATGGTCCTGTCTCCCGCTCAGGGCACTGGTTGATCCATCGTCTGCTGACTGTATTTAAGCTCTCCCTTAATGTGCTAATAGTGTCAGACTGCATGGAGGCTACAGAGCTTTTAGCTTCCATCTCGTAATGCTTTCAGCCTTTTGGAAAGTGCAGATTTTATGGTTGCTGGGCTTTAAATATTGGTGATCATTCAGAAATTGTCAATGATTAAGTGCGATAGTAAAGTTTCATTTAACAGATTATGTTGAGTAGATGCACAGCTGATAGCAGAACCGATTGGCTTCATGGAGGCAGGTAGATTGAGTATTTGTATTTGGTTGTATATTTAGTTGGCTGAGGGCAGAGTGGAAACATGTTATCCTCCTCCCTCAGATTTCCGAACGCGCGCGCGCGTGTGTGTGTGTGTGTGTGTGCATGAGATATGGCACGTTTGAGTCGGTGTTCTCCATAGGCTGCTTGTGGGTTGCTAAGAAACCATGCGTCTGCATGGTGAAGTGGGGGGTGGGACGGGAGAGAGGCAGCGGGTCAACAGAGGCAGACGCATGCGATGCTGCGTCTGATTGGACGCAGCTTATTGCCTCTGATAAATGAGGGTGATCATTATCATGTTGACGAGTTGTAGGCCTGAATCATGATGGAGTCTGCCATTCCGCCCTTTATGGAGCATTAAGTCAATTTATCTGGTTCAGCGACTGCCTGGCGTTCGCTCTGTGTTGCACAAGGTGAAGATGTAGGAAGAGAAACTGATAACACATGGCTGAATCCACAGGATATAAATACTGCTCTAGAAATATTACTGTATCTTAAGGTCATATGTGAGGCTGCTCACTTTTCATCTCATTTTTATGAACGGATAGACAAAAATAAATAAATAAATTGCAAATAAATCTCTATGAACTTTGCACAAAGGAAGCAATTTCAATTCAGATTGGATGCCTGAAACCACAGCTATGTTGTCCTGGACAAACCTCATAAAATTGTTACTGTGAGTTTATCACATCTCAATGCGTCTATCTGTATTTGTTGTTTGTACGATAAAGTGTAGGAAATGATACAGAAAGGATTTATATCTTCAGTCTTGACTTTTGTCTTAAAAATTGTTGAACAATTTCAGAACCACGTTGCTGTGATGGGAAAAAAATTGCAGCTAATTGAAATTAAATGTAAAACTCTCATAGAAGTTAAAGTACAACAAAACAAAATGTTAAAACCTATATAATACACCAATTAAATTCAGGGTTGTAGGTTTTTGTTAATAACTACTTGCAGAATTATGTTTTTAGCAAAGATGCTTAAACATAAAATCCTGATCCCATGTTAGCATAAAGTGAAATAAATGACTAACTAAAAATGTTTATATCAGGAGGTTTTGGAGCAAAATTTACCTTAAAACAACTTATGAATTTCTAAATTACATGCACAGTATAGCTCTGATTTTTTTAAAAGAATATTTTCATCTCTAGACAACAATAAAATTTAAAAATCTAGAGAAATTAATACAATTAAATCGTATAGCCACAAAATGCAACATTTAGTATTTCTCTTGCTTTCTTTGCAAAAATAATTCAGCACAACTAAAAGTTTGCTCGTTTATTCACTTGAAAGAAAAAAAAACACATTTGAGCAATTATGTTTTCAGTTAGATTTTTTTACTGTGACGATAATTTGTAAAGTTTTTTTAATTTCTAGGAGATTTTTGCGTCGAAATGTCTACTGAAATAATTTTGACATCTAAAAAGGACAGTAGCTTTAAAAGTCACGTTTAATTTTAGTTTAGATTTAAGTTTAGACTCTCAGGACTTTAGTTGTTTTAGATAAAATCTTCAAAATGAGAATAATGTATGAAATAAAAAATAAAAAACAACACCTAATGGAGAATGAGGAACTAAGCGATATATTTAATACTACTATATGAATATATATTTTTATCCAAGCTGGTGGTGTCTGGTCAGAACATGTATTTTCAACATGTTCAGAGTATGATAGGAATAATCCTTTCTGTCTCCTCAGCCACAGATTTGCGTTGAACGTTCTTGTTAAATCTCACCACAGCCTTCCACCATCTGTCCTGAAGAAGCTGGTGTGAGGGCACAAAAGCGGGTCCGATGCGACGCAGAGTGAAGGGTCCAAGTCTGGGACGGGTCTGTGGGTGGTCACGCTTGCTGTCGCCATGGTAACAAAACGGAGCGTGGCCAAGTGTTCACGCACGAACGACTCAGTCTCAGCAGGTGACAGACTGTAGCCACGCGGGAAGGCCCCGTCAGGGTCATGACGGGTTAACAAGGACAAGCTGACGAGGCTTTACTGTACAGCGAAGCTGCCACATAAACGGCCGATGATTGAGATTATACTCTTAGAGGAATTATTAAGAAGTCAAGGAGGAGTTAGAGCGATAACCTTAAACCATGCATGTAAATGTGTGCGTGAATGGGTGAATGACTGCTCTGGGATCCAATCTCTGAGCAAGCACCAAGGTAAACACCAATTAGGGACAAATTTGATAAATTAAATCAGAAAAAGAGGAAAAAACAGACAAAAATAGTTGATTGAACGTAATAATTGTATTGGCCTCCAACTTTTCTGATGTGTCTGCACTTGGTCTACCGTTCAGAAACACTTATTCAGAAGGAGATACATATATATATATATATATATATATAATATATATATATATATATATATATATATATATATATATATATATATATATATATATTTTTTTTTTTTTTTGAATAAGTAACAAATTTATTTAAAAAATATATCAAAAACATTGTACAGGAAAAAAAACACATTTAATATATTCATCACTGTATTTTACAAAAAATGCCTGGCTTTGAATCTAAATTGAATATGCATTACTTTGTTAATATTGCCTTTTTGATTGTTGTTTTGAGCTGCAATGCTGATTGGTGATATCCTACTTCATTATTCTTTTCAAAATAACTTAAGCATGAATAAAGTCATCCTATAATGTTGCTTCGCAGCAATGTAACTCTTAATGTCATCCCATAGTCATGCACCAGAAGGTCAGCAATACAGTACCTCAGTATTTCAGAAGAACAAAACAAAAGAAAAAAAAAAGACGTTTTAAATTGTTTTATGTATTAAATTACCTCTGCCATAATTGAGATTTGATCTTCCAGCTAGCAGATGAGCACAGTACCGTTAGATGTGGGGCTGTAGCATGTGGAACATTGTGCGTGGTTGGTAAGTAGTCACTGGGGGAGATTAAGGCTGGCGGTCTTGGAGTAAGTCTGATAAACAGCACTTCTTGTTCGCTGGGAAGGAGGGTTAAAGCCTGGCGGCAGACAGCCAGCAGCAATGATGGCACCAACTGTCACTGGCAGCTCACACTCTGCTACCACACCAGCTCAAGCCTCTGTGTGTGTGGGGATGTGTGTGTGTGCGTGTGTTGTCCTTCAGTAAGTGGCTAATAATGATCCCATGAAGGAGAGAGAGGCAATATGGAGGAAGCATGTGTCTCGATATTGATAACCGTGCTTTCCAGTGGTCACAGACTGACGTAAAACTTGAATTCTGATTGTAGGGCTGTTGGTGTTACAGCATAGAAAAAGTAAAAAATAAATACTGATGAAGAAACTGTAAATAACTTGATAGAAAAGGTCTATATCTGCAACTGTTTGCTATGATTAAAACAAGATAGATCATTGCTGTTTCTTACCAGTAGATGATTTAGTGTTAATGACCTACAGTTAGACAAAAATATGTCTTTAAAATTATTATCATATTTTAACTTTTTACATATCTCTGTAGGAGGATATATGTTGTTAAATATAAAGATCAGGCTACTTTCAATTTTGTCTCTTTGGGGCAGTTTTAAAAAAAAATGAATCAGCAAACTGAGCATATGGCCTCCTGGCCAGCAGAGGGCGCACAAGAGTGCTTGGCTTTTCACACAAAATACGGATCTCAAAACTTTAGATTTCTAGTTACATATAATAGAAGCAACTCACATTTAGACTCACTTGAAAGGTTTAAATTTAGGTAGAGTTTGAAAGAACTGTATATTGTACTAGTTTTAGCATACAGAGTTTGCTAGCTTTGTTAACAGTCAATTTTGCTAGCTCAGTCATTTCTCAGTGGGTCAAGTGCTGAAAGCATTTGACCTTTATTTCGTTTTGAAGAGATTTTTGTGGGATTAGTGTCCTTCATTCAACAGTAAAGGCACTGGAAGATGAGCAGAGAGAGAAGGGGAATACATGCAGCAAATGCTTGGGAACTGAACTGGGAACAGCTACGTTGACGAATGTAGCCTCTGTGGATGGTGCGCCTGCTCTACCACTGAGCTATGTGGTGCCCCGTTTGACCTTTCTTTCAAATGAATCTCGCTACATAATGGACAGTTTTCCTTGTCAGCCATAAAGTGGCTCCTCCTTCATAACCCTACTGACTCGGAAATCCAGCACTCTGGACCAAATGCTTATTTCAGAGAAAGAGACACACTGCCAGAATTTGTTCACTATTTTAATAGATGTTAAGAAGTAAATATTATGAATATGCTGTTTAATCTTCATATTCTTATCAAAACTGTCCCTGTACATTTCTCCATACAATATGCTGAAAGTTGCATGGTGACATCCAAATGATTCTTTCTGCCCAGGTATTTCGTTTGCTTGGAGGAGTCGGGATTTCAACATGGCGATGCCCAAGAAGCCATTGTTCGTAGTGTATCTTACAAACATTGTGTTAAGCTTTACTTTCCATAAGCAAACATATGGATGGACATAGAGCTTTATAAAACATTATATCTTTTTTATTTGATCTGAACAAAGAGTTTTGAATTTTATGGAGTTTCGTGGAGGAAAGGTGTTTCTCTGTGCTCAGTGTTCTGTTGGTCAATCTTCTTTTCTTTCTGCAATGAGAGCACTCTGTTGCATGTAATGAGACATAAAACTATAACTTGTGTTATTCATTGGGCTTTAGGATCCTGTGTTAGTTATTAATGTGTTTCTAACAGCTTTGGTTCTAACTCTCAGAAACTATTTGAAGATAATAAAAATGAGGTCGTCCCATGATCTGTATTTGCCCATTTTTGCTTTGTGAAGAAGACTGTCGCATGTTCAAGATTTAAGTCAGTTTCTCATCTCTGTAATACTTCACTCAAGTTTCTGTGCTCTGTTTGGTTTTCAGCACTGCGTGAAGCAGCCTGAAACCCCTTTCCTGCCTCTTTACTCATTGATTACAACCTTATAAGATCCTCTGTCACTCCCTCTGGCCTCCCGCTGTTCCATCCTGTCTGCTTCTTCATCATAATTAATCAGCTACAGTCAGTAGTCGAGCAGATTCTCGTTTCTGTGATGATTGGCTCCTCCTGATTGAAGGTGGAGCCTCCAGCGATGCATCACGCAAACGTACCAGCGCAGCAGGACTCATCCTCTCCGCCTCTCCCTCCCCTCCCTCTCCTTACCTCTCACTCTTCCTCTCACACATACGCCAGAGCTCAGACTGCAGCAGAGCGCAAAGCCAGCAAGGATTTTACCATTTCTTTTTGGGAAGGCAGAGAGACGTTTACCTGCTGAGGAGAGCCTGCATGGAGGGTTGATTGAAGAGGAGAATCTCACAAGCTGCTGAGTGTGTAGGTAAGAGTGTGTTTTAACTCATCGTGTGTGTGTGTGTGTGTGTGTGTGTGCGCGCCTCCAAGTGAGTGGTTTCACTGCAGAAGCAGCAGCACTGCAGATACTTCGACCAAGAGCCCTGCTCTGCTCATCCCTCCCTCCCATCCCCCTCTCTCATCTTCCTCATCCTCTCTTCTGGTTTTGAAGAATCCACTGACTTTACCCATTTCTGTCGGGTCTGTGATGTCTGAGTGTGTTTATGGGAGAATATTCAGAACAGCCACTGCAGGGTGGACTTGTGCTGGCTTTCCCTCGCAGCACGAGTGATGCTGATGTTTTCAAATAATCCGCCTTCTGCAGGTTGACACCTGGTCTTCAGAAGCATTTGCGAGGACTTTTGTAAGCCTCTCCATCTTTCCCAAGTGCACACTGCCAGCTTCCCGTCACCTCTTCTGGTTAGGATGCTCCGCTGTGCGCCCCTGTGCTAAGGCGGCGTCGGCGGGCAGCAGCATGGACGCTGTGCTGGCCGGCATCCCCACCATCCCCTCCACCACCACCAATCTGCCACCACCACCACGCTGCCCAGCCGAGCCGGGGGCTCCCCCCATCCCCGCTGATGGGCGAAGACACTGACGCCACCCTGACGCTCAACCACCACGGCTTCCTCCCCGACCACAACTATGTGACTGAAGGTAAGAGGCAGACAGACGAGGTCGGGTGTGTTTACACGGATTCACTGTGGGACACAACAAGCTTAGGGTGGATTCCTAATCTGTAAGCTCTGTCTGTGTTGGTGTGTTCAGATAGAACCACAAACAGAAACTGTTTTGGCTATGTTTTCCTCTCTTCCTTCACTCATCAGCTGTTTTACTAGTTTGGCTTCAGGGTTCCCACACGCTCTAGAAAAGCCTGCAATTTGATTTACAGTAAGTGCGTTGAGGGAGGAGAGGAAAAATAGTTTTATTTTTGATTCTCAGACAGTTTTTTTCCTCATGTCGTCACCTAAAAATCCATCCTTCCTCACTCTCTGGTTCCATATTTAAAGCCTTCTAGCTATTGAAATGTCTACATGATTTCATTACAAGCATTTTTATATAAACTTTAAACATTTCTCAGAAAAGAACTGAGACGTCTGGAAATTCGAGACGGGGATTTTGACCAGAGAATTGTGCCTGTATGCTTTGCTTGTGCTTTCATGCCTGCTGACCTTCTGTGTGCAACACAGCTCTTTGCTACACCACAGGAAGCAATTGATCTGGTCTAAGTCTAAATGTGTTTGTGTTTGACTCATATTGTGTCTGAGAGAGACAGCAAGAGCGAAAGAGAGAGAGAGAGAGGGAAATCTTAATTTCGCACAAAAACATGCCAGAAACTTCAACTACATTCTTGAATATGTATTAAGTCCGGTGTCACCTCTTACAGTCTGTTGCTGCCCCACTCGAATTTAAAACAGGTGCATGTGTCAAACTGAATGCATATCAGATCTGTGCCAAGGGACTCTTAAAAAATTCAGCAGCACTTACCACCCACTGAATTTTCCCACAATCCTCTTTCTTTCCATCACACTGGATCTCCTGTCTGTCCTTCCTCACTGATCTGCTCCTCGCTGCTCATTGCTCACCGTGCTTCCCGGACCAGATTATCATTAAAGGGTCACGCCAGTGTTAGAAGCTTATTTATCATCCTCTTAGCGATCTAGGTAACCCATTTAAATTGTTTCTACTGCTTAGAAAATTCCTACAGTTTGTCACAACCACAAACTTACTTCATTGGGATTTTATGTGATATATCAACACAAAGAGACGCTGTAAAATGGATGAAAAATGACAAATGAAAATCTTGAAGGTGTGCTGTTCATTGTCTATGGAGCATACCTATTAGTATTTTAGGCTGCATTCTGACGAGCACCATTCAGTCTGCTTTAATTGAACTCTAGTCCGTTTGACTAGAAAGTTCAGTTTGTCTGTGAAGATGTGAATGCGCAATCTAACTCTAAAGTGGATTTAAAAAGTGAAATCTGGCCTGTAAATACCTAGGTTTTGTTTCAATTAAGGTGAACTTTGGTGTGGTTTGAAAGCATATGTGGATCCAAGCAGGCTGATAGCAGGAAGCAGACTATAGCACAGGGCATTCTGGGTAAATACAACCAAAACGAATGTGAGAGTCTAGAGCTAGTGGGAGAAATGGCTTATGGTCTGTTGCCAAAGAAATCCTGTACCTGTTAAAATCTGACGCCACTCCATTTTTGTTTACATTTTGTGAAGAAGGAAGTTGTGCTTCTGTCTTTTTCAAAGGTTTTCATGTTATTTCCTTCAGTAGTTCTTGGTGTAGCGCCCCCACAGGTGAAGGGGGTGCAGACCGTTTTTTCAATTAGTTTGTATTGTCAGACACAGTGCAGCGTGAAGGCCAACCACACCAGCTGAAAATGTAACAGACGTTGCAACTTTGGTCGCCAATCAAACCGAGTCTTCGAGACTATGTGGTGTTAAAATACCCTCAGTACAAATCCAGCTGTTCAGTGATGGTCTTTTTGTTAGAAAAGATTAGTGAAGGACCAGCATGATTTACCAAATACCACTGACAGGTCATGCATGAAGATGTGAAGAAGTTTTAATTAGGCTATCTTGAGCTTTGAACATCTTTCGACGCACCGGTCAATTATATTAAAATGCAGAATATGGGTCACCAGGAAACCTACCAAGACATGGCAGACAAGTTAAACTGACAGATATTAATCAGAGAAGGAGCATAAAGACTCTGGAGGACCTTCAGAGATCAACAAGCTGGACTATTTTACAGAAGAATGAGTCAAAATGCGAGGTTTTCTAAAATGTGCCAAATTTGCAGCTGTACTTGCATTGAACGGTGGCCCTACAGAGTACTGACTTGAGACACATATGTTACATATGCATATTACTTTTCAGAAAACTACGCATATTTTTGGTTCCAGTGGTCCATCACGTAAAAGCCAAAAAAAATAAATAAAATAAATGAAATTTTGTGGTTGTAACATGAAGACATTTTTTTTTTAAATTCAAGAGTCTGTCCACCAAGTTTAGATACTGTAGGTTTGCCTGTTAATTGTATAAATGATTGTGTGTCCTGTGCAGTCAGGAGGTATCTCTGTTTGTCTGCAAGTGTGAATGAGGTTCTTGCTTCCTGGAGCTGTATGTCTGCACATTTCTGATATTTTTAGGTGGGTTTTCCGTAGTAAAACTTGAGCCTTATTACCCACAACCCATCTATGATCGCCATAGAAACAGTCAGCGGTGATAAACATCCTGCTTTTCATGCTTGACCAGTATGACTGACAGGCCGTCTCCACCCACCAATAATGGCAGTATTAATTATTCCACACATCGCAGGCACAGTCACAGACATTATTCACGGGGAATTGCTGATGAGCTCACTCCGAAGTGGACACACCGCCGTGGGTTGTTGTGGCAGATAATGTAGTAAGAGGCATAAATTACTCGCTAAAATGAAATCGGTTTCATATTCCTCTTATTAGAGTAAATATTTCCAATTAAAGGAAAAAAAAAGGTTACCCCTCCCTCTTATACTCTTGTACTCCACCCCTCCTTCACTTTTTATCCATGTTCACTTCTGTCCTCCTCCTTACCCCCACCCTCCCCACTCTACCCCATCGATCCACCATCGCAACCAGAAGCATTGTCCGACTCCAAAGTGGTGCGTCTGCTAAATAATTACCCAGCAGTGCTCTGAAGGCTGCTCAAACACAATGTGCTTCTGGATGTGAATGAGAGGCTGGTAGATTCAGAAAGACATGTGGGATTTTATGCTTGAGGGTAACTCTTAAATATAAGTCCTTTCTTAGACTTATTCATTCGTGTATTATCCGAGTAGATTATGTGCATCCTTTGTTTGCTCAGGTTTGTGCATATGGATGTTTGTGTGTCTGTAAGTGTTTTATGTGTGTGCACATACTGTACACACACGTAGGGATTCCCGCCGCAGCTTTAACACCTACCGGGATGGATGGTTAGGATCTCTCTTCTCTGCTGTCCCTCTCCTCCTTCCTTCCAACCACCATCTCTCACTTTACTCCCCTCACATGTTTTACTGCTTCCAAAATAAATCTCTCGGCTGCGTCCTCCCCCTCCAGATGGAGAAGCATTGTGTCCAAAAAACGTAGGAGGAAACAACAATAAGATCCAAATTTAGACGCTTTTGTGAAGGCATGTGGTAACTTAAAGCAAAAGATGGAACAGGCAATATTTCAAATAGACACAAATTAATCTGATAACACTTTTTTAATTACATAAGTATCAAGCATTAATACTCTTGGGTGAAGAAGTTAATTATTTTTATTTGAAGAGGGATTACCGTTTGACAGATTTGTATTTCTGTTAGATGTAAACAAATTTATGTAGTCTGATCAGATTATGTTACAAATTAAATGCAGGAATATTAACATTTAAAATAATTGAACAGTTTTTCATAGTTAGTTCACTGCATAGAGGGAATCCAAACGAGAACAGCTTAAATTCTTTGTGTCCTCTTCCTTTTGTTGGTCTTTGTCTGTACTGTTTGAAACAAAAATGGATCAGTCTAAATATTTTTGGCTGATTGTGACCAATTCTGATTTCTCAAGAACTATAATATTAGAAGGTTTAAAAAAACATATACAAAAATCTATTTTTCCAATTTTTTTCCCGTTAGCATTTAGTAGCAGAAGCAACATGGCGCTGTGTCTATGACCGAACATTTACAGTAAAACCTACTTTTACTGTAATGAATAATAACAACATGCTAATAGAGTTGACATTTTAAGCTAACTTTAACACATTATGTCTGCAATTACCAAAGCTAGCATGGATAGCATTACTGGAAATTCAGTGTTCATGATTATTCCAGAGAGAATATCAATTAACTCTGAGATTTAAAAGAGAAATTTACCAACATTTTGAAATTCAGCCATGACAGACAGGGCATGAAAGGTCTAAAGGATAAATAGACTTTAGTGCAATAGGTTTAGCCTTCCTGTTACCTGACTAAACCTCAGACAGTCTCAACATGTCGAACATCTAGTTTCCTTCTTAAAAGCTTCGTACATCTGTGTGACTTCTCTGACTTTATTTGAAACATCTCACTGATGCAAACAACTACCTTAGAGACTTCTTCCTTCATTAACTTCATCCACACTGAACAGCATAATTGTTTCCTGATAATGCTAAGTCCTGGTGCATTCACTGACCTTGATTAATGAGAAGCTGACCAGTGGTCACAGCTGACTAAGATGAAGATTGACTGGCAGATTTTCCGCCAATTCATCTTCGCATCCGTTGCTTCATGAAACACTAAACCGTAAATCTGTAAATATTTCTATTTTAGTTCTGTATTATTCAGCAAACACCCGTAGGTCATTAAGCAGGTCTTTTAATAATGATTGATTTTAGATTTTCTGGTTAGTTTATGTCATATGACCTTTTAGTGAGGAGTGAGGGAGTTGAATGATTTGCATTTATTCATGTTGTACAAAAGTGGTTCAGGAACTAGAGGACTTACTCAAAGATGTCTTAACGTATGACTTGTGAGATTGTTTCTCTTACTGTGTTGGCCTTAAGCAGGAGAGTATTGTAAAAGGATGCTTGCTAATAGACGTTAGCTATGCTACTAACAATACAAGGAAAAAGGAGCACCAGTAAGCTTGCTGACATGATGGCTGAATAGATTTGTTTTGTTTTTAGGGGCAAATAGTTGCAGGCTGCCACTTTGAACTGTTCCTACAGCAATAAGAAACGGGATACTTCTCGTTCTTGACATGAACGCTCAGAGGTGATTGTGGAAAAACTGGATTTATTCTATACTTGCCCATGTTTTTCAAATATTTTGAGGGCGCACTCTTTAGTCATGAACAGCAAGCTCAAAGAATCACAAGATATGAAACTTGTTTCATATCTTATTGCCTATTTCACAAAAAACGTTGATGCAGGGAACCGTTCTGTCCGTTTCTGTGTGATGTTTGAATGGACTGGGGCAACAGCGAGGCTTGAAGCTAGTAGTTGCTGTTCGACCTCTGAGATCTGAAGCAAGATACTGGCAGTGCCATAAATGTTGACCTGCTGGAAAGAAATGTAAGGTTAAGCTGGGAAGAGGGTGGGATTCATCGAGGACAAATTGTCTATTAGACCAGATAGATTATAAAGAGTGAATGAATCAGGGCCAGAACCAAGGCAGGCATCCATCCATCCATCCATCCATCCATTTTCTTTACACCCTTGTCCCTTAGTGGGGTCGGGAGGGTTGCTGGTGCCCATCTCCAGCTAACGTTCCGGTTCGAGAGGCGGGGTGCACCCTGGACAGGTCGCCAGTCTGTCACAAGGCAGACTTCTACCGTACGACTCTGGTGTGGTGTGTAATTTATAAAAAAAATATGTTTCACCAACATGTTTCTCAAGATCTAGCAAATTTCAAATGTTGCATCCGATTAAACGTTCCATGAAGAAAATCCAAATTAAATCAGATCATTAGTCAAGGAGGAAATTGGTTTGCTCTCCTTCTCTAAGCAGTTTATCACCTACTAAATCTCATCAATAGGACCAAACAAGACAAAGACGGACTCTCTGTAGCGTATCTATCTCTGTTCATCTCCACATCTTTGTAACCTTCCTGCCCAACCCCGCCTGTGAGTATTTCATGTTGCGTAGACATAATGTCATCATGAATACACTCCCTGTACCTCTTTCTTTTAGCGAGTACTCATGCCCGAATGTGGTGATGTAGTAACTCAGTCCCTACCCTTAACCCTGCCCGGCCCTTCTCCCTTCCTCACCCTCTGCCTCCTTCCCTCCCCTCCCTCTCCCTGCCGTCCACCATTGCTCCTCTTACAGGGCTGCTCCTGGCTATAGCCTGAAGAGCTCCGCCCATCCTGTCCACCCCTCTCCACCCTGGAGTCCTCCCCCAGGATGTTGAGCCCCATCCAGGTGCTGTGCTCCGACATCACTACCCTTTCTCTGGAGCCTGAGCCGTTTGCCTCTTACACTGAAGGTCTGTTTTCTATCCTCTTCTTTCCCAAAGGTCCTATCTATGTCACACATTTGCGCCACACACAACCCCAAAATGACACATGATAGACTTGAGTGTGTGTGCATGTGTGTGTGTGTGTGAGAGAATGCGGTATCATGAGTGAGTGTGTGCATCAGACAGGTGGATTCTCATGTGAGTCTGATTGTTATAAATATCTCAAACATCCCTTTGTCTCAATCTGTCTGCCTCATCCTTTATAGGTGAGTTTATTTTAGTAGCTGCAGATTTATTTTTGTCTCCGTCAGGCTGGTTCTGTGTGAATTACATCTACGTTTTCTAGATATCTTTAAATAGTTTAACCTCAGATGACATGCTGCCTTCTTCAAAGCTTAGCTGTCCTACTTTGACTTCTTTTTTTTTGTCAACTTGAAATAAAACTAAATCTGTTTGTCTATGAATGCTAATAAGGACGAGTTGCTCTCTGAATCTTTGAACACAAAGATATATTTAAAGTGTAGAAATCCACTCACATAAGGCTGCATCCTCTGTAACATTTCCATATTTTCTGCTTAAGAAATCCATAAACGCACAGAGAGGATCAACAGATCTATTGAAGGACTGCTTTTGCTTTTTTGCTTTTGTACATACTTGCAGAAGATAACCTTCAGAACATAAAAAATTGTCTTTAAGTTATATTTTTGCAGCTAAATAATAGCTGGAGCATCCAGCATGTTCTGAAGCTGATGCTGGTTTTATGATTCTAATTGTTTGAGTCTATAACCATTAGGCTCATACCAGCCCTGCTCCATTGTGCTGATGTGTGTTTGGAGAAACAGCAGAGTCCCTGCTGTGCTGGGCTTAAACCCCTCCTCTGCACACATGTGCACCTTTAGCACAAACACAAGCACTATATTTTTGATTTTTTTTCTTTTTTAGATAACTGCAGAACTGCAGGACAGGGATCAATTTAACATCTCCCTCCGGCGCTTCTTCCTCCTCCTCCTCTCCCTCCGTCCTGTTTATTTCTCTGCTGGGTAATTGTGCACATGCACACAGGAAATGTGGGGTGCTTGAGCTGCGGCATGCACACACACCGTTTCCAACACACATGCACGTGGGTCTCCTGCTGAGTGGTGGCTTGTCACGGCTTTTAAGTGTGTGTTTTTGGCTCGGCTTTAATGGCCCGTGTTTACCCAGAACTGAGATTTCTATAATTGGAACATTTGCCACCCCCATCCTGCCCCTACAGAAACCCTAGGAGAAAGGATTTCCCCTCTCTGCGTTCTCACCACCCTCGTATCTCACGGATCTCTTCTCACAATGTAACAAAAAAAAAAGGGTTCAAACAAAAGATCTCTAATTTCTTGTTACTTTAGTTCATTTTGGTGCCTGCCTTAAAAAAAAAAAAAAAAAAAAAAAACATCACAAAGCCTCTCCCACAAAACAGTTCACTTTTTAAGATTAATTAAACTACCATAAAACTAAAGTTTATTTATCAAATTGTGCAGCATTTTAGGAGTCTTAATACTTTGTCATGTTACAGCATTAAACTTCTACATATTTAAGTGAGATTTTATTTGACAAAGTGGAAATTAAATAATGCATTCTTTTCAAAATACAGTCGTAAAACCATGGTTTGGATTTATATTTGGCCCTCTTTACCCTGATACTTCTAAATTAAATTCAATACAATTGACTAACGCACTTCACTCATCTTCCTGCCAACACTGAAAAACAAGAAACCCAACATAATGCTGCCACTAATATGTTTTACCCTGGAGATGGTGAGACGTTCTTCTGCCACAAAGTGTTAAAATTTGGTCTCATCTGACTTATCAGTTTCAAGAATAAAAGAAGAATATAAAAGGGGTTGATTGCGCTTCACATTCACAAAACAAGACTTACTCACAAAACAGGAGTGAATATGTTTGCAAAGCGCTTTGGTTTACACTTGATCAGCCTTCTTGGAATGATGATTTAGCTTTCTTTGAGCTTCAGCGACTGTTTCTAGACTTTAGAGCGAAACAGCTGATGTCTGATCAATCAATAGCTACGCCAAACCTTCCTGTAGGTTTACCAAGCTTTGATTGTAGAAAAATGTAAAGAAAGTTACTAAAAAATAATAAAAAACATCTTCAAATAATACCGGATATTTTAGGGAATTTATTGAGAAGTGCACGGTACTATAGATGTAAATTAGAATTTGTTTCCCTCAAACATTTTCCCCTCCTTTTGCGTATTTGAGTGTTTTTCTGTGTTACTGAGTCGTGTATACTGACATGCAGCGTGCGGGCTAATGCACTGCCAGTCACCGTGTGTTCGTGTGGCTTCTGTGGAGTGACAGCTACTCAGGCCCGCCCACTAATGCACAGGCACTGTTTGTTGCATCCAAACATGGCTGACTTCCTATACCTCACAGGACAAAAAGGGGAAGGGATCTCCACTCTCAGGCCCCTCTTGTGTCTGATGCTGTACCTGTACCGGCATGTTCTTTTTTTTATTCTTACTTATCTTGTAGATTTCTCCAAATGAGAAGATCAAAAGAGACAGATGGACGTGAGAAGTGTGTGTTTGCAGAAGAGGTAAACAGGATCACAAAGATAAAGAGGGTGGAGTGTCTGCCCCGTATTCTCGTCGGCTGCGTTGTGTGCTCCTCCTGTGGTTTTTCTTAGCTCTCTTTCTCTTACAAAGAGCATTGAGAATATGCTTTTCTGCCTGCCAGTGCGCACTCAGGTGACCAGGCTTGTGCTTATTAGTGAGTCAGAGCCCATGCTTGCGCGCTGCTGTCCGTGCGCTCCGTCCCCTGCCGATAATTTAGCAGCATTTTTGGAAGGCGGACAAACGGCAGCGCAATTATTTCACCGCGCTGCGTCTTCCTGCAAGAATTAGATTGATGAATCCCGCTTCCTCCTTCATCACACTTCCATATACGGCAAGCCGTTATGACTACTTCCACTGGTTGGATCGGCTCGTTACCGTGGCAACCCATACTCACCAGTGGAGGACCCCTCGTCCCTGTTCTTTTTTTTTTCTTCTCCTTTCCTTTTTTCTTTCCACCTCGATCCCAATGCCTTTTTTCCCCTCTACCATCCTTTCTCTTCCACCCGCAGCATCACCACCACCACTATGTACGCAGTTGGATACAGTCAGGCGGCCGGGGGCTGGGATGAGAGAAGACAGAATGAGAGAGACTTGAAACATTAAAAATACAATAACAAGATTGCCCATTTAAAATCCATAAAAATACTGTATTAAAATGATGGAAAACATAGTAAAAGGAAAAAAAAATGACAACCAGTTACGGTCTGTGTGTTAAGATGAGGGTGAGTAATATTGTGTTGGTGTAGAGAGTGGTGATGAGTCCCTGCCTCCACTCATCATAAAATCTCTCCCTCTCCTCTCTTTCAAGGCCGTGACAAACCAGGCTTCTGCTCTCAATGAATACGCTCCCCATGCTCTATTTTTATTGCAGACAAAGCCGGTGAGGACATTATCTATCAAAACTAACCTCTGTGGATTTCCAAAACTAATCTGACGCAAGAGTTACAGTAGGTCTGTGTTTTTAGCACAAGAATAATGTTCTCACTTTCGCATTTTAGATCAGCATTAATTAGACAAATGACGAGTAAACTACTGAAAATAAAACACACATAAGTGAGTGAATATGAACTCCTTTTGGTAGAGAAGTCGTTGAAGGGGTAGGCAAAACCTCAAAATAAGGACATCAAATTTACACCGGACAAATTTACGGACATCTTTTTTGTGAACCTCAAATAAGATTTGACAAATAAACCGAAGCTGCCTGGTTGTAATGCTATTGCGAGTAAACTGGTGAAAGTTATTAATAGATTGTCACGCAACAAATTAACCACAAAACATAACACACTTGTGTTTGGTTAGGTAATTAATTAGTTGTTGTAGCAACTCTTCTTGGAACCGGTAATAAATCTGAAAAGTCTTTTCATTTATTGTTTTGTTTCTTCAAACTTCACTCACCCAATCCAATCAATGGCGTTAAAATACAAAAGAATCAAAAGCAAAATGAGTTGTTTGACATACTGAACTCTGCGGTCCAACCTACAAATCATCATCATTTGAAGTGAAATAAATGGGATTTGCATTGGTACAAGACATTTTACCTAAAAGAAGCAACAGAGAGATTCACTCTTTTTGATAAAATTACACAGACAGTTCTTGGTTTCTTTCAGAACAAACACTGCATCCAGAATCACAATAGGCATTTTCCTAAGGCCGAATGGAACTGAGTTGAACTAAATCTGTGAATTTCAAAATGGTGCAATCCAACATTTCCATGGTAGAAATCTACAAGGTAGGAAGATAAATTAACAGACATTAATTGCCAGTGAAGAGGATGCGGTCAAATATTAAAGATTGGTGGCATTGCTTGGATTTTTTGTTTTGAGTCCAGTTCGCACATTATTCTGGTCAGAAACATTGAACAGATTTGATTGTGAACATTTTAATAACAGTTTTAAAAACAGGTGTTTTGATCCATTATATGAGCTTAAAAACAGACATTTGCCTGAATGCCAGGCCACACAGAGGGACGGACTGAATGCACTGAAAGCAGATGAGAATAATGTTGCTCATAAAGAAAGATCATATTCATGAGAACCTCAAACCTATTTCATCATGAGCTTATGTGTAAAAGCTAAAATAAATCAGATAATGCCAGTGGCCATGCCTAATATTAACAGACAACTTGTGCATGTTCAAACATTTCCGACATGCAATGTCTCTGTTCCACCATAGAGCAAAACTTTAACTGTTAATATGTCGTCCTTTTAGTGTGAATCCTTCGAATGCATCGACATGAAGAAAAACAATCCATGAAAAACACTGGACATCTGTGCATTTGATTTTTATGACGATGACGATGATGATCGCAGTCATCACCCTGGTGATACCGGACATAATTTTTTTTTTCGTATTTGCAAGTGTACAGATGACAGATTTAACACTTAACAGCTCAGCTATCATTTGTAAAAGGAGTGTTTATCTGCTCATCTGTGATGAAGAATTACACAGTGAGATTATTGTGGGAAAACAGAACAAGAAGTGAACACGTTACAATCATGTTGACTGTCTTCTCTAAGATGATGCTTTAGGAGACTATAATCATAAATGCTGTATTTAATCTCTTACTTGGAAACCCTTCAGATTCTTATCAAGAATGTCCTGGTGCATTTCTCCATTTATTCTTACTTCAAAATAAATAGAGCCTGCTGGTCCCTGTGAGGAGGTCCACACCATGGCGTTCCCACCTGCAAACTTTACTTTTGATCTTTTTGGAGAACCGTTCTTCTTCCAAACATGGTGTGTTCAACAGCATCCACAGAGTTCATGTTCAACCTGATCTTTCCAGACCAGTATTTCTCTGGTTTCTACAGATCTTCAGCAGCAAACATTAAGCAAAGCTTAACACGCTGTTTTTTCAGCAGTGGAATTGAAGATGTTACAGTTTAGTGTTTTACTTATTGCTTTCATAAGCATAAGCAAAACGTTACCTCCTGTCCCCACGTCTTTCTGAAGCGCTCAGTGAGTGCATCTGGGCTCTTCAACAACTCATTGTTTTGACTCGTCATTTAGAAATCCTTCAGTGGTCACTTGGACTTGACTGCTTGTTTTTTTTTTTTTCCCTGGTGGGGATACTGTCGTAAACACAAAAAGCAGAAACATGTTAAAAGAAGATGCATTATATGTTCAGTAACTCGGTCGCAATGTCGTGTAAACACCTGCACATTGGGGAAATGTAGCAGATCAGTTGTATCCATCTGACAATTAACAATGACATATTTTGCTGAATTACATTTTATAGTTTAGATTTCTCTCCCTGTTTAGATTAGACAGATGAATGCTGGTGTGTGGTCGGTTATCTAATCCCTGTCCTCTTTGTCTCTTTCCTTCCATTTTTCCTCTCACACTATATCTCCTTCTTGGTTTTCCATCTTTGTTTCCTTGTCTTGTTTGCTCCAGCGGATATCATCTCCACTGTAGAGTTCAACCACACAGGAGAGCTCCTGGCCACAGGGGACAAAGGAGGCCGTGTGGTAATCTTTCAGAGGGAACCAGAGGTAGGAGCACACATCAATGCTCCGAACAAATACAAAGGAGTTTTGCACAACAGTAACAAATAAACGGTCTTCTATTCCAGCTGCAGTTTCGTCACATTATCAAGGATGCAATCCGGTCCGGACATTAACTTTGCATGTTTCATATGTTTTATTTTCCACAGAGCAAGTCTGAGCCATTTTCCCAGGGAGAGTACAATGTGTACAGCACCTTTCAGAGCCATGAGCCCGAATTCGACTACCTTAAAAGTCTGGAGATTGAGGAGAAGATCAATAAGATCCGATGGCTGCCTCAGCAGAACGCTGCTCACTTTCTCCTCTCCACCAATGGTGAGAGCAGAGAACAACCCACTGCACATCCCACCCCCAAAACAGCAGACCCATCTTAAAGAAGCCGGGGCCAATTTTTAACTAGAGGTGGGCGTTAGGACGATATTAGGCTGTAATGCATCAGAATCATCTGTCAAAGCAGAGATCCTGATATAAAAGTGAAGTATCGTCATTTCATAGTAAGGTAAGGTAATTTTATTTATATAGCACATTTTCAGCAACAAGGCAATTCAAAGTGCTTTACATGAAAGTAGCAGAAAATGCTTACATATCATAGAATTCAATAAGTGAACCCCAGTCGACAGTATAACCCATAATATTGTGGAATTTGGTATTTTGTGAATGTGACAGAACAAGTCTGGATTTGCACCAACAAATGTTTTTAGAAAGATGCTTAAATTGATTGAGCAGTAAAGGAGAAACTGTGTTGGCTGCTGCAGCTCATTTATTGCAGGGCTGTTGAGGCTCTGCAGGTTTTTTGCATCTCCAACTCAACTGACTCAAATTTTCTTAGAAAAATAGTGCAAAAATTTTTGCCCACCATTAAAACTGAGTATTTTAACAACCATAGCACATTTGATTTCATACAAGTCAAATAATAGCTAAATGTAGAAGTTACTAAGAGCTCTGGCCATTTAAACTGATGCGCGACTGATTCGGTTTTGTGCGAACAGAACCTCTGGTCCTTTTTTTTAAGCTATCCAGTTTGCTATATGAAAATATGGTTTATTTTCTTTTAGAGGTGTATCGTCCGCACTGACGGGATTTCAGACTTTTATGTGAGGAAAAGGTGATTTATTTAGATATTTTATTTGAGTTTCATCAGATTTGACTTTACCTGATGCTTCACAAACTGCAAACTGCATTAGCATCCCAAGCTTGTGTTGCTTGGCAGAGGAGTCAGGATTTATACTCTACATCCCAAGTTTATGGCTTTACGGTAAGATCTGTAGGTTTACCCTGAGAGCCACATTATTGATTTCTTCTTGCATTATATTATTTATGATGGAGAGTATGAAAACTGTGGGAGCTGCTTCAGCAGATTAGTGTTGAACCTACGGAGAAGCTGTCTGTATTTCCAGTGTACTGGTCTGAAGTGAATTTGAACAGCATGTCCGTGTTGTTTCTTTTGTCCTTTTTCAGGATTTTGCCAAAAAAATTAATGAAATTTATATGACATGTATTTAGTTTTTACATCACCTCAACACTTCTCACAACAAGATGCTGCTTGGCTCTGAAAATTCACTTCAAGCCAGTAGTAAACATGTGGTGCTCCATGTTGGTGGAGAGATTAACGTTCTGTTGTTATCAGGGAGCAGCTGCAGGTAAACACTCCCTTTATTTGACCAACAGATTGAAAAATGTGCTGCTGCTGCAGCAGCTAATTATTAATAAAACAGTTTGCAGAAGTCATCAGATGCTTTGTGTGTAAATACTGAAAATCATTTTACTCAAGGTACCTGGGATGTTTTGCCTTTGTTATTGCTTTTACAAATCAACCATAATCAACAAAAGTTGGACTTTTTGCAAAAAAAAAAAGCAAAAAAAAAAAAAACTTTAGTGTCAAAGTGTAAATTTCAACAAAATAACAAAAAATGTCTNACATNAAAAAAAATTCAGTTCAATGCAATTTATTTATGTAACGCCAATTCACAAAATGAGTCATTTTGAAAATTGATCCTACTTATCAAACAATACAGTTAAATTCAGTTTATAAATAAGTTTTGTATTATTTATAGTAATACAAAACTTATGGAAACCCAGCAGGTTGCATCAAGTCACTTGCTTGCAGCATTCACTTCTCTTGGACGAGGATTTGGCGACAGCAGACAATCCTTCCTAACATGCGTGTGGTGACAGTGGAGAGGAAAACTCGTCTTTAACAGGAAGTAACCTGGCTGAGTACAAATGTTTATCTGCCACGATCGAATGGGTGTTTGAGAACACAAAGCATGCGCACAAAAATCAGAACACAGAAGCACTGATCTGAGTTAGTTTCTATGTTTAAAATAAGCCACTGCATAAATATTCACCCCCTTTAAAGAGACTGACGTAATTTAACTGAGATCCAGCCAATTGGTGCTAGTAGTCTCATAATAAGTGGAATGGAGATGACCTGAGTGCAATGATTGTGTTTCTAGTGGCTGTAGTATAACGACATGTGTCTGGAAGGTCCATTCATTGGCTAATTAATACCTCTGCTTAGCATTATAGCCTGAAGACAAAAAACATCTCAAGCAAATAAGAGAAAAGGTTGCAGAAAAGTATAAGTCAGGAGATGGATACAAAAAAGTTTGTGGTGCTGCTTTTTTGTTATATTTTTTGTGAAAAAAAGGCCAATTTAGGTGGATTGATGTGCAAAAGCTTTGATTGATCCTGTAGCAAGAAGTGTTTCAAATAGAGAAACTGTTTTTGCTGCGTGGGATATTCTTACTTTTTTGTTATGGGGGGTCTTTGGGATAAGTGCGGGATCTCACTCCATCCTATTATACTGTGACATAATTACTCAGTGTTATAAAAATGGCTGCAGGTAGGTGTCTGTGAGGCTGCAACAAGCTGCTCTCTGTCAGAATAAATTACTTAATATACTTTAATAAAGCGGCTGCTTTTTTTGTCTTTATAAACGGCTCATTATCTGCTTAGTCCTCACGCCTACACATTTCCTTAGCTCAACAAGATCCTAAGAAAAGCAAAAGCAAAGTAAAAAAAAAAATCTAGGGAAACACCTCCAACATGTCTGGGTTTGCAGACCTCATCGAGAGACGATGCCTTTTTAGAAATTCCCATTATAATTTGCCTAATTGACCTGGTTTGTTTTCCAGATAAAACCATAAAGTTGTGGAAGGTGAGTGAAAGAGATAAGCGACCAGAAGGATACAACCTGAAGGATGAAGAAGGTCGCATCAAGGATGTCTCTACAGTCACCTCTTTACAGGTATAAATACATCTCATCTCATCTCATCTCATCTCATCTCATCTCATCTCATCTCATCTCATCTTATCTTATCTTATCTTATCTTATCTTATCTTATCTTATCTTATCTTATCTTATCTTATCTCATCTTATCTCATCTTATATTGTGGTTTGTTAGTTGGCCAGTGAAACTGGGTCAGTGGATTCAGCTGTGCTTACATGTACAAAAGTGGGTCAGTAGCACAAGGTACACATGAGAGTGAGTTAATGGGGGAGGTGGAATCCTTTAACATGAGCAGCTGCTTCAGCCGAACATCTGCTCTTGATCTAAATTGTTTAAAGCATTGGTGTTCGTAGTAGGACTTAAATCTGTCGCTAACTGGTGGAGAACTAATTCAGCCTAAAATAACATGAATTATTGCATTTTGATTTTCCAGTAAAGGCTGCAGCTTTTTTCTCTCATTTCTTTTATTTAATGGATTGTAACATTAAATATTAATATATAGTAGCGTTTTTAAAATGAAATATGTCTGCTATATCTTGGCAAATTTTTTTCCCCCTGTAAGCAGCCAGAAGGGACATAATGCTGCTCTGCTCTTTGCTTCCAGGTGCCGGTCTTGAAGCCGATGGACCTGATGGTGGAGGTGAGCCCCCGACGGGTGTTTGCCAACGCCCACACGTACCATATCAACTCCATCTCGGTCAATTCGGACTACGAGACCTACATGTCGGCGGACGACCTGAGGATCAACCTCTGGCATCTAGACATCACTGACCGCAGCTTCAGTATCCTTTTACTGTCACAATCGAGGCAATGTGGACTCCAACTCTCACACACAAACACAAGTACATCAATAAAGCGTGTGCTCATACTTGCATAATTTCAAATTCCTAATAATGAACCCCACCCCTCCTCCCACACACACACATAACAACTTCCACTTTGCGAATCCCACTTTACTGTACAGATAAAAAAACCCCGCTGTTGGGGGAGGGGCGTATTATTGCTGAAGAGTGAAACTATGTCCTAATGAATAATGCAGAAGCTGCATAAATATTCAAGACCCTTTCTGGGTTCTAATCCAGGTTGGATTGCAAAGCATTCACATCCAGAACCCAGACAGGATTATATTATTACAGTTTATATGGAATTACTTTTCACTCAACAACTTCCCTGAAGATATATTTTTATTAGTTTGTTTTATTCAGTTGTGTATTTGGAGTCTGTGTCGGCTGTGTTTTTATCATTCTAAGGCTTTGCAAACATTTTTTGTGTGTGTGAATTAAAAAAAATAGCTTAATTTAATCTCTTAGAATTAAGCTATTTATTTTCTTTAATAAATAGCTTAATTCAATCTCTGGGTATTTGAGATAGGTTACTTTTGCAGAATAAAGCAGTAACTGATTTTCTGCTGTTTCCCTGAACAATGCCTCTTTCTATCAGACATTGTGGACATCAAACCAGCAAACATGGAGGATCTGACGGAGGTGATCACAGCTGCAGAGTTTCACCCCCTCCACTGTAACCTGTTTGTTTACAGCAGCAGCAAAGGCACCCTACGCCTCTGTGACATGAGAGAAGCAGCGCTGTGCGACAAGCACTCCAAATGTAAGCATTCCTGCCGAGACGCAGTCAGAGGTTATTTTAGTGATCTTTTTTTATTTTAACCGTGATGATTTTTAAAACTATGCTTTTGAGCTATTAGTTTGTCTGTTTTTTTTTTTTGTTTTTTTTTTTTTATTTGGCATTTTAGTGAAAACATTTTAAGTGGTGGTTAATTGATTTCTTGACACTTCTAGAACATTTTATACAGCCGAGGCTTCATTTTGATTAAAGCCAGGCTGGGAAAGATGGCAGTCACATGTGACTGCAGCGCATTAGCATGTGAGCTTTTCGTCCAGTAATGTACTAAACTGTCTGCCTCGAACACTAACATCTTATTTAATTAATTGTTTTACTGCTTTTTTGCAGTAGTTCATGTTATATAGAACGTGGACTACAAGAAAATCTAGTTAATCTGTGTGTTTTAGTTTAAAGTGTAGAAAACCTGTCAATAAGTTCCTGACAGCATATCAGCAGTATCCACTAGGTCTCATTCAACATGTTGGTTATTTAGAACATGGGACAGAGTTTCATAAATCTGTCTCCACTAAGGGACACAAATCATTGACGGTAGGTGCCTTTAATCTTTAATGCGAGGGCCCCAAGGTACCAAGGCTGCCTTTTTATTGCCCCTTTTCTTCCTGCTGAAATGTCTACCATTTGATTTACAGCTCTGACCATGAGTCATCGATGCTGAGGTCCTTCGCAAACCATACTTATTTTGAAGCTAGGGCTTTTATTTTAATTGGCAAAAATAGCTAAAATTTGCAGAGGTTAACACGTAGCAGTATCTCAGAACGGCTCACTTAAAGAGTCTTTGCCTTGCTGTCACCATGAAAACTCATCAGAGTCACATTGTACCTCTATTATAAAGCTAAACAGCAGTGGTGTTCACCTTCTTCCTACTTTATCTCTCTCACCTGGTGCAGTGTTTGAGGAGCCCGAGGATCCTAGCGCTCGCTCCTTTTTCTCCGAGATTATCTCCTCCGTGTCTGACGTGAAGTTCAGCCACAGCGGTCGCTACCTGCTCACCAGAGACTACCTGACTGCAAAGGTGTGGGACCTCAACATGGAGAGCAAGCCCCTGGAGACATACCAGGTCTGTGTGACCACTGATATGTGACACCATATGTCTGCAGCACTCCAAGAAATCTACACAGATGAAGAAGTCAGCACAGTGTAATCCAGAAGTTGATTTTCGTGCAATGTGGTGAAATGAACATGCTTACGGAAATATTTTTAGTTGATCTTTTTTGATATCACCAACTTCTAGACGTCTCCTGTGAGCAGGAATTAGATGGGTATTTTTTGCTCAGATTAAGTTTTGGTCTTTAATTTCTGAAGGTTTTAGAAGCCTCCTCTCTGCTCTTTGATATTCAGTTATTTTTTTTTTTAATTTTCAATCATTTGAAATCGGTTGATTAACCAAACCATTCTACTGACAGAACTTTCTGAGAAATCAACTGAGAGTTTCCTTGGCTGTGTGTTTGGGGTCTTTATGTCTTGCTGAAAAACTAAACTCTCGATTCATCAAATCTGTTGTTCAGATTTTTATCAAGAATCTGAACTAAACTAATCTTTAGAATCTCACTAAAACTTCTCCTTCAATCCTTTCTTTCATCACACAAAGCACCATGTGCTGAACACTCCATGATGTTGTTTTTCAGACTTGGTGCAAACCATGACATTCAAAGACTTTGATCTCATATAAGCAGAACATATTATTGATTTTCATTAGCTCATCCAAGCGTTCTGTTGCATTATGGTTTTTCTTCAGCAGTGGAGTCTTGTCTGGTGAATAGTCTTTAATATACAGTATCGGCAGACTAGGCATCAAATGTGCATTGACTGTTGCACAATGTCTTTCTAAGGTCTAATTTCAGATGTTTAGCGTTTTGTACCTCTTACCACCTTCTTCATACTGTTGTGTTTAATGGTTATTTTCAGTGCTCCATATATATATATATATATATATATATATATATATATATATATATATATATATATTTGAGAAAGGTGTTTATGAGCCAACTTCTTCTGCAGATTTTCAGCTTGATTTTTGTTGTATTTTAGCAAATTTTCATTAACTCTTTAAATCATACCTAATGTGTATTTCTCACTAGGCTCTGCAGGTTTGCCGAAATTATAGAAACACATACATGTCACAAATAGATAAATCTTTTCCAACCCAAAAAGTTCAAATATTGTGACATACGTTCATCTTAACAATTCCCAGAAAACTGTTGTGATATTTGTTTTTATTACTAGAAATATTCCACATGGAAGTGTGAAATCCATTGACATAAGACATATTTAAAAATGCAGGGTTACATTTAGCGTTGCTCTATAAGGTTTTAGTTTTACAAACAGACCCACTTATAAAGCAATGAATCTCACCAATGTGCACACTCAGTCAAATTGAACCCTGAGCAGGGTTTAACATATTTAAACATTCTGGTTTAAATATCGAGCTTTGCTGACAGAGAGCCCAAAAAGTCTGGTTCTCTCTCACCGTCTTATTTAGAGAAGTCTTATACGAACACCTTTATCATCGTATTTATACAATTCTTATTTGAAAAAGTCTGCAGACTTTTAGTTTACCACATCTTGTTTAAAACAATTGGGGAAAAAAAGCCATAAAACGCCTCAACTCCAAGATCAAACCTAACGATAAAGTTTTCCTTATAAGTTTACTTTTAAGACTTATCCTCCAAAACTCATATTGTGTTTACTTTTTCTCTGCCGCTGGCTGACCAAAGCTGTGTTGCCGCCATTCATAATAACAGTTTGAGAAATTAATTACGAGGCAGAAACTTTTCCTCACATGCACACAGTCCTGACTAATGATTACATCTTTCCACATAACCTTCCTGGAAAAATTCAACTGAATTTAAGCCAGAGTAAGCTTCCCACTGATGTCAGCCCTAAAACTTTTTGGTAAATGTAGTTCACTGGATGTCAGGCAAAGATTAAAACAGCTTTGCGTGCTTATCAAATACTAAGTTGATCAAATAATCTCCTCTTCAAACAGCCATTTCTGGTTGTTTACATAAAAAAAAAAAAAAAAAGGTCACACAAGTTTCTGTTTATTCGTTTATGATGATCCGCTAAGTCTCTGTGAGTGTCCAGTGTTGCTGTGACGGGCGTTTAGGTGGACACGTCTGCCTGCAGGTATGCCTGACGTGTGAGGGCCCCTGAGGCAGCCTTGAGTGGGAGGCAACGACGCGCTGGAGCTATTTATAGGCTGCAGAGCCTCCACTCATAAAGTAAAGCGGGAAGGAGGGATACCTTACACAGTGGCTGACACCTAGATCTGCAATGCAGCACAGAGAGGGAGGGGGCAGAGAGGGAGAGCAAGGGGGAGAACCGGGGTGTGGGACTGGGAGGCAGACTGGGGACAGCGTGATGGAAAAGAGAGGAATGGGAAGGGTAAAGAAAAGGATGCAGGAGTGAGAAGAAAGTAAACGATGTAGAGATATCTGTATTGCTGTAATTACTTTGACACGTAGCCTCGAAGGTGCAATAATGGACAGACTGAGAAGAACAAGCAGCATGTGGGTCAGAGTTACTTTATCTTTAGCATTTACAGGCAGCACTTTTACAAATATCTAGTGATACTTCAATCTGAAGTTTTTGATTTATTTCAAATTTCAGACAGCAGACAGAGGCTGTAAAAAACTCAAGAGGAAAATTACTTTTGCAAAGCACATTTTGTAAGAAATGCCACAATTTTTGTTTCAGCTCCTTTGTTAATTATTTACAGAATGAACATTGCTGATCACTTTGTTGCTACGACATGTCTTTACATCACATGTTCGTGTAGCAGAAAATTAATTTGAGATATTTTTATGAATTACATTTTCATTTCTTCTTTCTCAGTAAGGGAGGATTATAAAGGTCTACACTGCAATCAGCGTCATGTTTCAAATCTGATCTACCATGGATTATACAAAGCGCTGCAGAGATCCCACAAAGTCAAAAAACAAAGTATGGGAAAGGCTGGAATTTGATTTATGTACTTTCAAAGTGTATACAATAGAAAACGACAGAACATTTTTATTTATCTGTCCCATTGTCTAAATGCACCAGTGGGAACCTTTATTTGTTTTTTTGTTTTTTGCTTATTATGCATATTGTGTATATCACTTCTGAAACTACGTGAAAGTCTTTGAGAGGAGAAAACAGAGAAACAAACCACACTAAACGTCTCTCATACATCAATCTAATGAGCTAGAACAAATAAAAAGCCCAAAAACTTTATACTACAGTGGTTGTTTTGCTGTTTATAAGAGAATATGCAGACAGCAGAAAATAGTCTCCAGTTCCAGCTGACATTGTCCCTTTTGACCCCGTGCAGAAAGGTCCGTTGGGAAAAACAAAAATGTCCCACGAAGCGATGTACAAGCACAAAGCGACCTCAGCTTGACCGTTTATTGATTGCAAGGCGACTGACTGCTGACTTTATGCAGAATGTGGAAGGTAAGGATGGGATGCACATCACGGCGGCTGCAGGTTGCAAAAACTTGCATCACCAAAAGACACAGTGCTGAACTGGAAAGGTCGAATGGAGGCACGAGGGGAAACAGCTAACAACTGTGTGTGAGTGAAGGTGTGATGAACCTGAACTGGATTTTAATGAACTGAGTTGCTGTGGAAAAGCTTTTTGAATTAGAATAAACTCCGATCCTAAGTATTGGTGAAGGATGATGTGGATGGTTTCTAAGACAGCTCGACCAAATTGCTCTTTTCTTAGATTCGGGTGTTTGTGCATGTCTGCCGTGAACCAGAGCCTCTGAGTGACGCGGCCGTGTCCCACCGTAAAATTTTATTTCTTGTCCGTGTTTTCCTGCAGGTACACGATTACCTCCGCAGCAAGTTGTGCTCCCTTTACGAGAACGACTGCATCTTTGACAAGTTTGAGTGTGCCTGGAACGGCTCGGACAGGTAAGTCATGCAATTGGTTGGTCTCTGTGCTTTGATGAACAAAAATTTAATTCAAAGGCATTTGAGTTCGAGCCACAGATTTTTCTTGTTTGAGTGGGGATTGAACACGGCACCTTAGGACGTTCAACGTCTGATGTTGTTTTTAAAACTTCTTCTCAACTTTACGTCTAACGTGTCTACTGTGAACGTTAGTCTTCGTGATGCTCTCATTAATGTTCTCTAACAAACCTCTGACTCCTTAAATTTCACTCACGTAAAATATTATTTACTTATGACACATCCTGGATCTTATTTAGGGGTATCAAAGTAGCTTGATGTAAAAAAAGAGAAGACAAATCTTCTGTTTTTGCTTTGTCCAGTGTGATTATGACCGGCGCCTACAACAACTTTTTCCGAATGTTTGACCGCAACACCAAGCGAGACGTGACCCTGGAGGCCTCGAGGGAGAGCAGCAAACCCAGAGCCGTCCTGAAGCCACGGAGGGTCTGCGCCGCCGGCGGGAAACGGCGGAAGGACGACATCAGCGTGGACAGCCTGGACTTCACCAAGAAGATCCTGCACACGGCCTGGCACCCCAACGAGAACATCATCGCCATCGCCGCCACCAACAACCTGTACATCTTCCAGGACAAACTCAACTCTGAGATGCACTGATGAAGGGTCGTCGGCGGCGGGTCCAAACGAGTTTACAAGCAAACATGCAACTATGCTAGAATGTACATTATCAGACTCAAACGCTGGCCCACAGAACCCAGGAAGATGCCTAACGCACACAGTCAGAATGCATACACACGTTCATCTCCTCCTTAGCCTCCCACAAGTGAACAGAGTCCAGTCAGGGATAAAAAAAAAAAGGAAACTGGCTGCATTACGCAATGGGTTATTATTGAAAATTGTCCAAACTGTGTTTATTTTTATTGTTATCCTGTGGATTGTGGTAAATGGTGTGGTAATCACCACAGCTTGGCTTCTGAGTGGGATCAGATCTCCTCTCGGGCTGGAAGGACGTTTACATTTCTTTGTCTTTTTTTAACTCTTCAGGCTCTCTTGCTTTCTCCACCTCCTCCTCCTCACCTCTCTGTATTCGTGTGCTCAAGCAAAGCCTATTCTTATCCCCTTTGCCCACTGTTTTGTGTAAAAAAAAAAAAAAAAAAAAAAAATTGGGCCATTTATATAACTGTCTGTTTTTCATTCCAGATAAAGCTCTCTGTTTTTGTAACTTCTTGTTAAATGTCGACGACGAAAGGCAGACCTGATGGTGAAAACGAAGCGACACGTGAGATATGCAAAGATGAACCCCGTGACTTTCCCCTCATCCCAAACTGCACCAGACGCCTCTGCCCTCAAGAGGGGTGAAGCACTCACAGTCCTGCAGGCAGAAGCAGACGCTAACAGACACAAACCCACTACGAACCGTGTGTTTAAGCAATGACTGTTTTCATTTTTAGCCAAAACACATCCAAACATATCAGTTTGTGTTTTTCGCTTCTGATCCAGGGCTGTTGTGTGTGCTGCTGCTGCTGCTTCAACACTCAATACATTAAACTCAGATAAAGCAAAAAAGTAAAAAAATAATCATAAATATAAAAAAAAAAATAAATAAATAAAAAAAACGGCGAAGAAATATTTGCAACAATCAAGCAAAAAGATGCTGCATGTTCAACAGATTTACTTTATAAATCGTCTGTCTGACTGACTTGGCTGCCTTCTTTAAACATTTAAACCTAGCTGTAGAAAGGCTTCAGGGGGACCTGAGGGGGGTTCCCTCCACAGCAGCACGAGCCGCCGTAGATAACCCTTGACCTCCTATTTGTGTCCTCGGATGCAGAAGCATGTTTACTCGAGTTCGGTTTGTACACGTCCATTCTGAATGAAGCCGTCCACAAATCAGTGTAAACTGAGAACAGAGAAAAATGGGGAATGTTTCAGATTAAATGTTGTACCTTAAAATAATCGGAATAACAACAACAACAACAAAACTTTAGAGCGGCCTCAGTGGTGTTTGTATATAACGGCTCTGTTTCTGACATGAGGTTTAGTTTCGTCTGTCGACCAACCGCGGCCTCCAAAGCTACAGCGGAGTGATGGTACTTTAATCTCTTCGGCCTTCCTCACTGATTACTTTTTTTTTTTTTTTTTGGATGTGCAGAAGTTTTTATTTTTTAAAAGACGGGCGCTTCTATGTTTGGAATATGTGTCGGTCGTACTCCATGTCTTTATCAAATACAGTTGATTCACATATTTTTGTCTAAATATATGTTGACATGATTGTCAAATGGACAGTTATAAATAATGTTAATATCTTCCTTTGTTTCTTTCTCTTTTTTTCAATAAAGGATTCAACAAAATTGCACCCAATGAGGACACAGTTGCAGTTTCTGTTGTAAACGTGTGTCTGGAAATCTTGTTCATTTACGACGTATACTGAAGCACCACCTAGTGGCTTTACGTCGTTATTACACTTGGATGGGAAAGAGGCGTGATAGACAAATCTTCTAAAAACTTGAAACATTACTGAATAATTGACCACTTTCACGGAAGCAATGCACATGAATATAATTTTTGACATTTTGTTTGTTATCTTTTGTTGACGTGTGTGCTTTTCTAAACACTTAAGTAGTGAACATAAAAAGTTCACACTGTTGAAATGAGGAATTGTGAAACGCAAACAAAATTAGACTGAGAAAAATTGTTAAAAAAAAACATGTTTACACATTTATTGTGACGTTGTGAATAATATCAACTGAAAAACAAACTGCTAGTGCAACTACACAAATGTAATGACCCTGAAACAAACCATTCTTATTAGATTTCAGCATTCTTGTGTTCATACCAGCCATCGTGAATCTGATTAACTTATAATTAAGCTTTTTAATTTTAACTTACGTTGTAGTGTGCAGAAATCTAAAAATACCAAGGAGTCAGAACAAAAACACAAAAAAGTCCACAGTAATATCTGTGTACCATGGCAAAGTGGAGAAATTAATGAGAAATATGGAACGAAAAGGCATTATAAAACTGGATATTTGGGCAAAATAAAGGGAAAAATGAGATGAACCTTTTTTAGGAAGGTTTAGAAGAGACAACCAGCAACACTAAAGGATCTGGAGGGACTTGAAGTGGCATTTCTTAATTCTCTGCATTCACTAACCATCTGTAGGACTAAAGAGTCTCCTGCTTCACATCTGACTAAAATCTTCCAAAACCTGGTGGAAGAATACGTTAGAAATGTTAGGCTAAACTTGAACTATTGGGCCACAATTACGTACATTCCATTTAGCACACACAAAATGAAACACAGTGGTGGATGCATCATGCTCTGGGGTTACTTTTCTTCAGAGAGAACTGGGTTTTCAGTAAAGGAAGATGAAAATACAAATCAATTTTTCCGCCATTCCTGCAGGTGGTGGTTAAAAGGCTGAAGAGGAGAGGGGATTTTATTTTTCAGAATCACCATCAGTCAGGCTTGAGGCAGTTTTGCGAAACAAGAAAGGGGAAATTTTGGAAAGTGAAGATGTGATATGAAAATAGACTTCAATGTTGCTGAGGTACTGAAAGTAAAACAAGAAGTTTTAGCAAATTATTTTTAACGTGTATGCATAGTTAAAAGAAGAAAGTTGCTGCAAGTTAATTTCTTTTTTACGTTTCACCTCCTACTACTTGTTTTCCAATGGAATCGTATAAGATGTCCAGTATGTCAGATTTCCCACATCTCTAAAATGTTTTTGGCCTCTTTTCTTTTTTCCAGAGTATATTCAGTTTAGGTACAGATGAGGCATTTTGTCTTTATTGTAACATGAACATATCACTACTTGCTAAAGGCAGGCAGTAACACCACAGACACTGAGGTACTAAGAAATTTAAAATGTGGCTTTACATAAATTGCACTGAAATGGAGACCTCTAAATCACCTTTAGCAGTTTTCAATAAAAACGACCAAGAGCTATTGTTTTAACATATTTATGGGTCACAGTACAGAAAACAGTAGTGACATCCAAAACAGACCCTCAATCAGGGACTAAATGTTCAGTATATTAAATCCCTGCACAGCAGAGATGTAGACAAACACTGTTGGAAACAAACATGGGATAATAAAACAGGCGAAAACAGTATTGCGAAGCTGTTAAACTTACAATATTGCCCCCTTTCAAATTTTGTTCATTTTTCTCTAAAAAATTATGATGTGGGGCAATTACTTTTTCACGTAGAACAAGATTGACTTGGATATATTTTTTCTTTTATGAATAAAACCTTGATCTGACTATTCAAGTTTTTAAAATAAAAGGTTATTTGAGTATCTGAAATATTACATTTGATTTAAAAAAAAAAAAAAAAAAAAAAAGAAAAAAAAAAAAAAAACTTAAAAGGGAAAAAAGATTTTCCCCCC